GCGGCAGAGTGAGCCAAAGACAGATCGGCCCTAACCCATGCAATAGTGATGCTCATTTTGTCACTCAGTGATGCGCACTTTTGAAGCCAAATAAAAAAAGAAAAGAAAAGTCATAAATATTTTGTAAGCTTTAAATGAAGTAGATAGGTGAACTTGTATTAAATATATATATGTCACAGTTGTAAAATAAATGGTCTAAAAAAATGAACATGAGGTGGTAAATTAATGTGATTGGGTGAGATGGGGGCATAAGAAACAAACGAGAAAGGAATAATTGTGAAAGGGAATTTCTCCAGGAAATTTGAAAGGAGGAATCACTAGGATGGGTGGGACACGCAGACTGTACAACATTCACACAGCAGCGAGCGGACTGGTTTGATGGAAATATTTGTTTTTTTTTATTTATAAAAGAATACAAATTTTTTGTTAACTTGCCGCCCAATATATCGCGGTCGAACTACCCCTGAGCCGATAGCTAGCCGGCTGAGCGATATATTGGTGCTTTTGACAGGCAAGACATAACAAAATATAATACTGTTTAAAATTCGGCTAAAAATTTAGAAGCTTTATAGGATAAAATAGGGATTTAGGTTAACTTGATAACAATTCGTTTGTTTTATTTTCATAAATTCCAATTTTAAATTTCCGCTGAAAATATAGATACCGCGGAAAGTTTTCTTATTCTAAGTCAACAAATAAAAAATATACATTTTGTGAATGAAAATGATGTGTGATTAAGTCCCATAGAAGTGAGAATCGCCGCAAGCATGCAATAACTAGAGCGTCTATTAAAATTTTAGGGAAAGGGGCCAAAAAAATTCTTACAAGCCAATTGAGGGAGGGCGGGCATTTCGGGGCCATTAACACTAGACCTGCAAACTTTTTCATTTGTTTTGTGTCTACATGTGTCTTTGTTTAAATGTTGCGTAGGTGGAGTTTGTTTCAGTGTTAAACCCCCTCCTGAGGAGTTCTGAACTAGCCGAGGTTGCCCACTTAAAAAAAATAACAAAACTTCTTACAATTAATAAATTCCGATAACTTATACTATATCTAAAGTAAGCAGAATTGCACTTTACGTTTTTAAAGATAATTTTCCCGAAACACAAAAGGCAATTATATTTGGTTAAAATCTACATAGGTTAGATGACGAGTACAAAATAAATACAAAAAATAGGACACTCTTGTTTGTAATAGATGAAGCTGAATTCAGTATAATTAACGAAGGTGTCTTTCGACCAATATGGATGAAAGAAATGGATTGGCGTCAAAGCTAGCGGCCACTTAATAAATATTGGTAATTTCTGCAAAATCTTCTCATTTAAAGAATATCAATCTGGAAATTATTTTTGTGAATTTTTTAAATGAAATTGTCATAGGGATTTCGAAGGACTTATAGGCAGAAATATTTTAGGGAATTTAAACGCAGGGAGATCAATATCGGTGTTGTACACATATAAATTTTGTTGCTCGAACCCTCAGTTTGACTGAGTTTATATTCGGAATAACGGATGGTTCTTTACAAGCTAGAATAATCTACTTACGGAGTATAATAAAAATGTATGATTGACGGCGCCCAGTTTGATCCAGCATATTAATACTAATTATGAACTATTCTCACTAGTATTCGTATTCGTATATATTTGGATGTCGCTTACAAAAGCGACATGAGCTACAGTCTCATGATTATGGAGTAAATTAGAATTAACGCTGAATTTAACTTGTTTATTTTCGATGAATTTATTTATAGTGGTTACTATATTTATGTAATAAATAATTTGTCTGTTTCATATTTTAAAAACTCTCAACATTATTGTAATAAAGACATGTGTAATTGCTTACACACACATGATTTGATTGAATTGCATAAATGTAGGTATGTAAGCCTGGTCTAAAGAACTTGTGGGATGGTTCGGATGGGGCTGAGCTCAGGCCACCAGGCGGCTCGCGGGTTGCGGATAGCGAACGGCCTCCTCACGGGGAGGTTAGCTGTGAATAATGTGAGATTCCTCGTAAATAAGCAGTCCCGGACAAACAGCGGGTGCGATAATGTCTATCGTACCGACAAGGCGCTTGTGTTGCCGCCTTCCAAAGTATAGTTTCACACAACCCCCCTATCACGGCTGGTACTCAGAAATGAAGAGAAACAGATACGGCAGCAGAGCTGGCCAGAGGCAGTAGGCCTCCGGCAAGCCAGATGTCTCCTAGGTGGTTATAATCTTAAGCGATTTAAGCAAGTTACAACCATGGGAAAGAATAATCTTAGGATACTTACCGGTCTAATGACGGGACACTATAGACTAAGAAGTCACCTAACTAGACTAGGTGTGTATATAGTAGCGATCTCTGCAGGTTCTGCGAAAGAGGGGAGGAATCCTCGATACACATCCTAGCAGAATGTGTCGCACTAGCTAGAAGAAGATGTAGCATCCTAGGGTCGCATGTCTTGAATTCTAGAGACATAGAAACCTCAACCCAACAACGATCCTAGCATTCGCACGGGGTCTGGGACTGATGGAAGAGCTATAGGCTCAGAAGGGGCATAATAGATCCAACAAGTCGGGGTGCAACTTCCCCAATAATATTAATAATAATGTATGTAAAGGCAGAATAGCTTAAATATCTACATAAATATATTGAATTTAAACATATTTATATTTTATTTTTATACCCAGAGCCCATTAAAAATGAGTATAAAGGTTATAATGGTTTTGTGCAACTGTAACAGGCAGAAGAAAGCATCCCCGACCCTATAAAGTATATAAATTCGATATTAGTCTGTCCGATCGTCCGTCAGTCTGTATGAACACGTCAATCTCAGAGACTATAGGGGCTAGAGCCTTCTAATTTAGTATATACCTGACGCCATTTCTCGATTATCGATACAGAATCGATACGCAGAATCTTTATAATACATAACATGTATATGCATTATTTATCAACTGCCTGAATTGCATCAAGATCGGATAAGACACACCAAATTTATAGTCGAAAATATATTCTCATATTGGTCTCATTTCTATCAGCAGCCGCAAACATTTTCTGTGTGCATCAATATGTGAGCGCATGTGTGAGAAAGAGATGGCATGATAATCGACGCGAACGTCAATATGTTTTTGTGTGCATGCTGCAGATCCCGGTTACCCCGTTACGATTGCATACATATGTATTTATACATATGTATTTATATATTCACGTGTTTGTCGGCAGGGCCTACTTGCAGACCTGCTCACATCTTGGTACAAAACTTTATAAAAGAAAACTAGAATATAGGGCATATCGTAGCGAGCTCACTCATTATAATTGTACAGCAAATTATGTTCGATCTTAGAATGTATGGTTAAAGCAAAGAGAACCTACCTACAACCCAAAGCACACATAACACACAGTGTGGCCACAAAATTAGGTTATGTAAGTTTCCAAAGTTAGTTAGTTCGCATCAGATATATATGTACATACATACATTATAATGATTCAATTATGCCCACATTTATGTATATGCTCTAAAGATTCGAATTGTTGTACAGTCTATTATTTTATATATAGTAAAAACGATTAAAACAATATTACCTATACCATCATTTATTTTCCAATACAGGTACCACTTACAATATGTATTGCTAACATAAATTCATAATTTTTTTTTTGTTTGCATAGTATACATATACGGATTCACTGATACAAATACCACGCATCATGAACACAGTTTTCTCATGGTATTGTACCGAAGAGTATATTATTTAATATGCCCGAAATGGAATTAATTAGTACGTACTTAGTGTGTACGTGAATACCCCCACTTTGCGCTTCAAAATCATCAATGTGCATACCATTTATATCTTTATATATGTATATCTACATATATTTATTATTATTATTTTTTATTTTCAACGACGCTCATTTTGTAATTTGGAACTTTGAACAAATTTTACCTAAGGCTCAGCCGGCAACTGGAATTCGTCAAAAACAAAAATCCCAAGGAGATTTATGAACAATTTAGCATATTTGCATATGTGTATGTAAGTATGTTCGTATGTATGTATGTATGCATGTATGTAATTGGTGTATTTTTATAGACCAAAATTCACTTGTAAATGAAAAAAGCAATTTTCCACTAAACTTGTCAATATATATGATTGTACATAATTTGTAAAAACAAATTTTATTAATAATTTTCTGATTTATTAACCACTGAAATCATCTGTTAAGGAATACATACACAAGTACACATCAATATGTAGGTAATTTTTTTTTTCTTATTTTTTTTTGTTGTCGTGCTTAGTTTTTATATCTTTTCACGATATTTTAGTCATTTTTGCTACATAATCATTAATATAGTAAGTTTAAATTATGATGTCATGAAGAGAATACGAGATACCACACCACTACACATGCAAGCAAGACCATATGCAAATAAGGATTGGGATATGTATTCCCATCATCATTAATTGCCGCCTACCACAATCGGTGTCCAAATATACATAATCAAAGGCGATTGATTTTCGAATTAACTTCATTGGTATTTTTTATTGTGAGCTAATATGTATGTATGTATAACCGAACTGTTTTCGGTGGGAATGCTTTGTGAAAGCAAAACCGTAATTGATTATAACTTCCTATTATGTATATAACACAGGTCATTTTTTTGTTTTCATTTTTTGTCCATCCATAATATTCTTGTGGAAATACAAAAAATAATCAAATTTTCAAACTCATGAATTGTGTGTGTGTGCATACATGTTGTGGGGGACGACTTATACACAAACAAACAAAAGAACCGAAATGCATGTGGCACACGCATGTCTATTTTTTTTACATTCATTCATCATATACTACGTACATACATACTTGTTACGTAGCTGACTTTGACCTCTGACCTAGTGCTAATCATCATTTTTAATTGAAAGTCAAATTATAAGAAATCTGGATACTGAACACTTGTATACAATGGAAAGATAGTTGTTGTGTAGGTATGTGTAAGTATGAAAGGTAAATAGTTCAAGTATTATTTCCAAAAAATTGTATGTATATCGCATTGTTTTTTCTCTTACATATACAACCCTAAACACTATGAACGATAAAGAAAAATAAATCTACAGGCATACAAAATTCTAAGTCCATTCGTTTATCAGTCGATCCACTTTATGTTCTTCATATAGCATGGTTTTTGCTTTCCATATTGAATCATTGAATCTAGAGTGTTCTCCCTGTGTGGGTGTGTATTTATGTGTGTGTGTGTGTGTCTTGATTCAAAGTGCTGCGCATGGTCATATTTTTATCAAACTAATCGTCAACTATGGAACAAACGAATTGAGATATATAATCATAGTCGGCTTCCCTACCGGGTGGTCTATTTTGGCCCTGTTGCAGAACTTGATTTGGGCCAGTCTGTCGCCATGTTGAGTTGTTGCCAGTTGCACTCGAAGTTACGTTCGATGGGCCGCCGCCGCCCGTCATAGTTATGTTGTTGCCACCACCACCGGAGGTGGTTGAAGAGCTCTTGACATTGTTGCCGCCGCCACTGTTACCACCGACAGCTGATGGGGCACCACCATTCACAGACGAGTTGACAACATTGTTGCTGCTGTTGTTGCTGCCGCTTGTGCTGTTGTTACCGCCACCCGCACTGCTGCCAACGGAGCCCGTCGCACTGCCACTTGCAGCACTGCTGGCTGTGCCGCCGGCGCCGCTGGTCACAACACCAGCAGCATTCGATCCACTGTTACCGCCGGCGCCGTTGCCATTGCTGTTGCTGCTGCTGTTGCCCGATATGCTTGCACCACCTGAACTGCCGGCGCCGCTGACGCTTGTGGTGCCAACACCACCGACAATGCCGCCGCTGTTGCCGTTGCCGGCGCTGCTTGACGAAATACCCGAATTGGTCGAGGACGGAGCTTGAGGCAAATGCTGTAGAATATTCTGCACCTCATTCTCGCTTGGCGATTCGGCGAATATTGTCGTATTGCCGAGAACACAGTTATTCAGAGCCATTTGTGCTTTGTTAGCCTCCTCCCGCGTTGCATATTTACACAATGCAATTCCTTGGTTTAAATACGGGTGAAAGCTGACAAGGGGACCATGCTGCATACACAAAGTACGTAAGGTTGGGCCATCAATCTGAAAACATATATACATGTATAATATATAATCAAGTATAATAACATCTGTGTTATCCAATCAGTTAGTCAGTCAATCAGCAACTTAAGCGTTTTCATTATTATCAACGTGGGATTTCAGTCCTTTTTAGTTATCTTCTTCTGATGACCCTAATTTTAACATCATTCACTTTGGCATTCTCCAAAGATCTATTATTTTTAAGAAAGGAATAGCACTGTCTCAAGCCAATCATAGTATCTGATCTAATAAAAAGCAAGTTTTTTATAACCAAATTTAAATTTCTAAACCATTAAAAATGAAGTAAATACCCAGCAGCAGATACAAAATCTTCTTTTCCATAATGAATATATATTACTGATCTGTGATTCTTAAATGATTTTTACGAAAATATCACTTTACATATTCCTACAGATATACGGAAAATTATTTTCAATGCAATCAAAAATTGATATTAATCAGTTTAGGTCTATTCCAATACATACCTGAGCATTTAGATTTTTGAGAAGCAACCAACTAGAGTTCCATGAAACATTAGTTCCAGTCCATGCTGTGTTGGTGCTGGGGACACTTCGATTGGGCAGCCAGCCGTTCGAGTTCCCGGCAACCGTAGGTGACGGGGTGGGAGCAGTGACACCGCCAGTTTTACTTGTGCTTAACCCGGGCGGAGGTCCTCGAGATGAACCTTTGCTTAGAGGACTGGTCCAGAGTTCTGAGGTGGCACATTGTTGAGTGTTGTCTGACCAACTTTATATTTAAAGCGTATATTAAAATTATATGTAAAACAAATGGATAGTGTTTTTCACCTGGGAAAGTTTTGGTTTGGATTAAAACTCCATGTTGACGACGATAAGCTTAATGATGGCAAATCAGTCGGAGAGGTCTTGCCGGTGTTTGCGAAAATATCAGCATCTTTTGGCGTCGGATTAATGGACAGTGGAGATCGAGCAACGCTGCCAGGAGTTATGCTTGGATCATCTTCAATGCTTTTGATCTGAGAACCCTTAAAAATAAACTTCTGCTTGGGTATGTTATTGGAAGAAGACGTATGCCTACAGTTACCTTCCACGGTTTGCCTGGTTCAAACTCCTGTACCAAGTCGGAATATGCAGCTGCAGTCGGAGCAACTGACCAGTCTTTGTTCTCGTTATCAATCGACGGATCCGGCCAACCGTGTTCAATATTACGACCCGTTGACCAAGTTCTACATACAATACAAAAAATCACAACTATTTTAGAGAAAAGTTCTTCATTGCCCTTGTCACAACAATCACACACAACTGACCCATCATTTTGCAAGCCCAGCGGGCCCATGTTGTTTGAGTTGCTTGCTAAATTCTGCTTTGTAGCACCCGGAGCACGCGAAAAGTCCGTGCCATCTGTAGCCATGCTGTCCTTTTCTAATACTGGAAGTTTCCACTGATTTAAGCGGGATTGCTGATTGGGCGCAGCCTGATATCCACTTGGCTAAAAATTAAATGGATAAAATGCAAAATTAAATGATTTATTATTATATAATTTCCTAATTCGTCACATTCGTCACACAAATTTGAATCTTCATTTTGATCCATTAGTTTTAATTTTCAATTTATTTTTAAATTTACACATTTTTTTTTATCGAATTTTATAAATAAATATAAAAAGGCGGAAAAAAAATTGCATTTGATTGCCGCCGCAAAATTCAAAAACCAAATTTTTTTTGATAATCTGATCCCAAAAATGATGCGATAATTAATTTATTCAATTAAATAATTGTATACTTATTTTAGAAACTTTACCTAAGTATTACACGCGAAATGGAGAGGGACAGTTTTTAATATAATTTTTAAGACGGCATTTCACTGACTATAGAAAATATATCAGAATTATTACAATTGGAGTATGTACCTTGTTAAGATTGAGCTCAGAAAAGTTTCCTTGAAGTGTACCTATTGCATCATGATTCCTTAAATAGTCATTGCCAGAGTTATTCATATGTCCTCCGGATGGGAGCTGCTGCTGCTGCTGTGAGTTTTGTTGCAAGTTCGGTTGCTTAATGTACGCAGCCTGTTGTGCATTTATTTGGTTTTGTAAATTCTGAATTTGCTGCTTGTACTTCGCTATGGTTACATTGACAACCATTGGGCTAGCGTTGCTGCCCCGAGAAAGAGATTGCTGCGCTGCTTGAAGATGCTGTAAACGATTGTTCGCATTGCATACAGATAGATAAAAATAGATATGGATATTATACTCACCTTTATAGTGCTGAGTAGTTGATTCAAAAGATTTAATGTATTTTGTGTCAGAGGCTGCGTTAAGATTTGACTGGATATAAAACCGCTGTGTATAGCCAATTGAATCTGCTGGCCAAGCATTCGAATATGCTGCCCAGATGGTTGATTATTGGCATTCGATGCAATATTGACTGCTGGCGCTGCGTTCGATGCGTTCTGACAAAAGGCGACCGGAGCATTCGCATTGACAGACTGTGGTCCACCGCCGCCGATGGCGACACTGTGTGGTCCACCTTGGCTCAAATATTTTTGCACTTGCAGAGTGGCCATATTGGGATTATTGCTACCAGTGACGGCTGTACCGCTCATATTACTCATAAGGTTATTCTAAAAAACCCAAAAACAAAAATAATTTCTCATTTGGTCGATCAAATCAGAATTCGTTTGATCAGGATGATCTTACCGGAGGGAATGACATCGAAGGTTGTGCGCCGCTAACTGGATAGCGTTGTGGGAAGCCGCCACTATTTGGTGTATTCGAATGATCGGCATAGGAACCAAGGCCTTCGTCGTGACGCCGCCAGCCCTCCACCATCGCCAATGATGAATTTGCGTTAGCACGCAGCATATCGGCCGCCTCCTCAATATTCATATTGGCACTCAGTAAAGCTCTCTCAACATCCTCCTTCTTGAATCCATTCTCAACCAAAATTCGATATTGCTTGCTTTGCTTAACAATCTCCGAGTTCAAAACTCCAACATTGATGCCAGCCAATTTCTGCTGTTGTTGCTGCTGCTGCTGCTGTTGCTGCTGTTGTTGCTGTTGAGTTTTGCCTACAATAACACTGTGCGACCAATCCGAAGAGATGTCACCACCTTCCACATTGCCAGCTCCTCCTCCGACTGTGTTGGAATTGCTCCAGCCCGAGGAAGCACCGCTCGCCGATGACAGCTTACTTGGTTTATTACCACACCAACCGCCGCCGCCACCCGTAGCAGAATCACTCCAGGAATTCGAACTAGCGCCGATCTGGGCGAGGCCGGCATTCGGTTTATCATCGACCCAATTGTTGCCGGCAACGACGCCAGTAGCGCCAACAACAACACCACCCACATTGTGACTATCGTCGCCCCATGAGTTCACCACTTGCGCATTGCGGCTGCCAGCGCTATTATTTTGATGCACCCACATGGCGCCGGCATCGGGTTTGCCATGCTGGCCACCAACACCGACACCACCAACAGCGACACCAACACCACTGGGTCCGCCAATTGGATTGGTGAGGCGAGCCTGTGGGCCACCAGCACCTGGCATTGAATTATTTGGGTTGCCGCCTATTGCTGGCACATTGCTATTGCCCGCGATGCTGCTTCCAACGATGGTTCCGCCGCTTGGATTTTGGGTGCGCATCAAGTGACTGCGACCAATTGAGTCTGTCATGTCCTTCCACTGAGGCCCACCGCCTGGCAGGCGTGTCTGTTGCCCCCAGAGCGAAGTGCCATCATCATAATTGGGTATGTTGCGGCGTTGTGGCGGCGGAGATGGTTCCTCCCAACCGGTGATTTGCTTCGATATATCCTTCGGTCCACCGACTACAGTTTGTGCTGGTCCCCATTGAGCGCCGATATTGCTAGAAACGGCTCCGACACCACCAGGCCCACCTATATTTGAGCTTACTACATTTGTACCCGAAGAACCACCAACAACGGGCCCGACCATTTTGTTAATATTCTGGATCTGATTGTGAGCGATCTGGGGATGGTGTCCCCACATCTCGGATTGGCCATTCAGTCGCCCTGATATTCCACGCGGATCACCGCGTATCGGATCGCGCGGATCAATCATGCGTAAATCTCGCGGATCTCCCGTGGGTGGGCCGACACCACGCATTGGAATTGAATCGCGAGGATCGACGTTCCGTATGTCCATGGGACCACCGCCGGCAAGCGGGCGTATGTCTCGGGGATCTCCCCAGCCATTGCCAGTGCTGCCGCCAACGCTGCCGCCAGCCCCGCCTACGGTTCCAGTGGAAGTCAAATTGTTACCACTATTTCCACCTACATGTGAATCAAGCACAGAGAAAAAAAAAAACAGTGTCAGAAACAACAATTTTCAGTTTAACTTTTAATATTAGTTCAAGTTCCTATTCGGGGGATTAACTCAGTTTTTGCAATATAAACATCTCATTAATTTTTATAATCAGTTTTTAAAATACTTAAGATAATAGATATTCGGGGCGATTGACTCAAATTTTTTTGCATAATATTCGATTCTCATTCATTGTTATAATGAATGTTTATATTACTTCAAGTTAATATTTGGATGAATGGAGCCATTTTTTCCAATACTCATTCATTTACATAACAATTTTTTATCTTACTTCAACTTAATATTAAGTTGAATTGAGCCAATTTTTGTCAATACTTAGATATATAGATTATCTGATTCTCATTAATTTTTGATTACTTAGATTTTTTCCCTCGATAATAACCATTCATAATCCTTTAAAATTTGGCAACTCTATCACTAAAAATTGCGAGAGATACAAGCTGTTGCTAGGTTCCTAGAAATATAGGCCACTAAGTAATATAATATATATGTCGACCGAAGGAAGTTACCAAATTTTGAGACTTCGCCATCAAATTTATGGGAGATATTGCTCTTTCAGATATATAAATCTACAAATTATAGCCATTATCGATTTATTTCTCGTATTTCTTATTTTTTTTCTTTTTACCGGCAATTTATCTTTCAAATTTAGCGACTATTGCTTAATTTCACATTATTTTTAGTGACCAAAAAGACAATAGCTAACCAAATTTGGTGACAGTAGCTTTAAAACGAAATAGTCATATATCGTTTTTGACGATTCAAGAGTAACGATTTTCGATTTTCAGTGGCAACAAACCCTTTATCAGACGAACAGGCAGCATGACGGACATTGCATATAAAAAGTCTAGTTTAATTTATTTGAAACCGAATCGAATCACACTAAAGTTGTTCAATTTTTTTTCGCAGCATCGACTCCAATTTAATAGTAAAATGATAGCAAAGTAAATATAATATGTATGTATATATGATAAATAGGTATGTATAATACTTACATCCCGGAGTGACTACAGGTAAGGTTCCCGTTGCCGGCGAACTGTTGTTGCCTGCGGCGCTCAAACCAACGCCGACTCCAACGCCCTGGGGCCACGGGGGGCCACCGCTTGCGCTGCCGACGCCAGAGCCAACACCCGCAGAATTTACACCGACAACGACACCGGATGCGGCGTTATTAACCGATTGGCCTGTCCAAACGCTGGTGCTGTCCGCACCGTCATCGTCCTCGCCCCAGGTGCCACCTAGATTGGATGAGGGCGTATGGCCCCAAGATGGCTTTGGCACTTGTTGGGCTGGTGGCTGACCGCCGTTTCTTAAATTTGATTCCCACAGATCTGTGCCATTGTTAATGTTCGGTTTCCACATTGGAGGCCCTCCTGACGGATCCTTGTTTGCCGGCTCTGGTGAACTGGGCACCTCCCAATTGGTATCTTGGTTAACATGCTGGCAACCCCAGCCATCCTGAGAGAAAAGGGCTTCGCGCATCGTGTACAACTGTTCCAATTGATGTTTAGCTACACTAACTGTAAATAGCGCATTCCCATTCTCAGGTTCAACTAGTCCTGCATCAATTTTGCTGCCAACGTCATTGTCATTGAATGAACTCGTATGGCTGATGGTAATAATCTTGTTTACAATTTTTGTTCAACTCGCTAACAATATAATATTATTGATAGTTCTCGTTTTCAAAACGGCTTTTACACTGATTATGTTATTATTATTTTGGCTACAAAAACAGAAATATTTTGCATTAGAAATATTTAGAAATTAATCAAGAAAAAGTGTTATAGTAGAGAGATGCCTGACTAGCAGATTAATACCCAGTAAAAAAATAAACACTATTATATAATTGGGCTGTCTTGCAGGAAATTAATTTAAAGATAACTTCCATTTCCATTGTCTAATCATCATATAATATTTAATGCACATAGACTCTATTCAAATGTGAGTGAAATTATTGTAAATAGTAACGCCTCCAAAAAAAAAAGAGTTATTTGCAATAATGGGAGGATAATCGGGAATCGTATCCAAACTTCTATACCCCTTCAAAATATGTGCACAAATTGGGATCACAGCTCGATCTAAGCAAAAATATAAAAGTTATCGATAAAAAAAGCACACTATTATTACAAATTTCGTCTTTGAGATCGGCGTGCTCATAGAGACGGAAGTGGATACATACTCGAAAAAAAGTTATATATACCTTATAAGGTCGATTATCCTCTTCTTCAGAATTGTGTAATTTATTCTATTCTATATTTAAACTAAATTTTAATAAAAATCTCTTAGTTTCCGATAAGTTTGGCAACTTATTTACTCCATTTCTGAAGATAAATCGAATATTAGAGAAAGAGTATACAAAGTATTTGTGGATTTATATGTGTGCGATTGTACGAAAAAGATACTTGACAACTCTGGACAGTAGTCATTGACGCAATCACCCTATTTAACTCTGTACTTTTGTTCACGCTCACACACACACACAGATACACAAAAACACCCATACGGACGAATCAACAAATATGCTATAAAACATACACACATATATATAGAGATGCAAATGTAACATTTGTATACACACGCACACACAAATCGGATATTTGAAAGAATATCCGAAATTCAATTATTAAACCTTCAAATTTATTTTATTGATGTGTAAAAAATGTTTTTCATGGATTTACATTGTGTATATTTGCATTTTTTTTTTAATTTTTTTTGCGTGCAGGTATTTGTGCATTTATGAACTTTATTTTCAATTAAGTACTCACTCACACACACATACACATATACACATATAAATGAGTATACATACATACATGTGAATGTTTTAGTGAACAAAACAAAGAATTTTGCAAATACTTGCAACTTGATTTTTTTTTGGATTTAAATAAATATCGATTGAAATTTAATATACCGCAAAAATTTATACATATATATATACATATGGAATGTACATTCACATCACATACATACATCACACACTTACATACATAAGTACATAGATACATGCATAAATATGCATGGTTGTATTAAGCCAAGCCACTACGACGATTTCACAAAAGTATGCATGTGTGTGTTGTGTGTGTAAACTTATGTCAAATAAAATTCTCGATTCACAAATTCATTCGAAAAAAAAATAACTCATCACTTCGCATCATTACGTATGTTCATTATTGCAAAAAAATAAAAAATATACAATTATTTTAATGCAAAGATTACTTTTTCGGTGCGAAAATTTATCAAACCACACGTTCAATGGGACGGGACAATTTACTACAGTACAAATGGCTGCTTGCGCAATGTTGCCACCTAGCCATGTTTTATGCGATTTAGCCAACCAACTTTTGCGCATATATCTTACAATTTAAAAATGAGCGTTTTATTGCAACTGCAGAGGGAAACTTAAATAATGTAAATAGTAATTGTAATTGCTTAAAATTTTAATGCGCTTTCCTTCAAATCATTGTCTTATGTAAAATACTTAAAACGTGGCAACTCTTTGTTTGAGTTATAACACACACTCAGATGCACACACATTTGTCAGAATGTGTGTGTACATGTGTTTAACTTTCTGTAAGCATTAATGCTTGCGCGAACGAACATTTGTTGTGATATTTTATAGAATTAAAACAACTTCAAGCTATTCATAACTGTGAGTCCAAATCCATTAGGCTAGTGATTTCTTAGTGTAACTTAATTATATTTTATTTTACCTATTTAAAAACGCACTCGTACCGATACTTGTTCTCGCTCACTCTTTTCTGCAAACTGGTGTGACCGTTTGCGACGATCACAAAAATACCCAGAAATGAAGACAGTGAACAACAAAAAGAGTAATGTAATGCAAAAAAATGTGCATTGAGTTAAAAAAAATGTTTAATGTAATACAAAAATGCACTTTAAATGTGGCAGCTAATGCTTAAGAATTCTACAGAAACGTATTTAATGTAACGAAATGTGAACTGTACATCGTTAGCTTTAGCAGACTGTTAAGAAAATGTTAATGATTGCTGCACATAAAATTGCCTCACGCACACTAACGAATTTTGCGTAAGCAGCATTAAAGAATAAAGAAATGAGTAGGCAATTTTTAAATTCGTCCCTCGATTGCAATGAGAGCAAAGCAGATATGAAAGCAAAGCGTGTGTATCTTAATTCTAAGCGCTTTTCATTTAATAAAATAAAAACAAAAACAAATAAATAAATTGAAGTCAAAATGTTTGGGTAAATTTAACAGATGGATTTAAAACAGCACACACACTGTTCGTCTTTGTGGCTTGTTTGAACAGCTGTTCGACTTTCTATTGTGACCGTCAAAATAATTTCATATATTTTCACGACAGCCGGTGAGAAAATAAACTGCAGTTAAAAAAATCTGGTGAAAAGCAAATTACGCCAATATAGACCGTAGAAAAATGTAGCTTCAGCTGCAATCACAGATGACAGAGTGTGATCTTGCTCTACAAATAATATAATACCAGACTCTACCATTTTGTTGGCTAAAATCTTTTGCTCTCAGCACACGCTCCTTAAACCACTAATTTAATATACTTTGTAAAAAAAAAGCTAATAAATTGAAAAAAATATTTAAGCTACGTTCATTTTTAACGGTTTTTATTAAATCAGTTTTAAAAATTCTTCATACTAGGCCTCAATTTTGTTTAGTGCCGAACACATTAGTATTTCCGGTATTTTTATTTTATTTAAGCCTAGATCGAAAGAAAGTTATCGATAAAGAAAAATTCCATTTAAGAGCTGTAGCTGTGGAGAAAACTCCACACGTCAGCGAACTGTTAGCCTATTTACATTTTATAAACAGCTGTTCCAGTTTCGCATCTGTGTGTCAAACAATGAAATCGATATATTTAGACGGTTGACGATAAAAAAAAAATGCTTAGCGCGGAGTGCGGTTACAGTGTTTTAATATAGAGTAATGATGTCAATCATTTTTATTTATTTTTTTCTTTACTTGAAAAACACCGAATGTGAAATGTTGGTAATGTTTAGGAAATTTTTGTTTGGCTCTTAGCCAGCTAAATATTCCTCTAATGGGATAAGTTTCATTTTCAAATATTTTTTCGAACTGAGAACTGGGCTTTAAGCGATATGGCAAAGAGTTTGTTTTTGACACAGAGCATCGCTTTTCTCAACTCAAGTGATATTTAAACACACTATAAGGGATTAAATTTTTTGTAATTAGGAAAAAGACGGTTAAGTTTGGACATATATGTATATATATGATATTGAAGTCTGAATCTCACGCAGCAAATAAATGTTTGATTTGATTTAAATTTGATTTAAATTTGATTTAAAATTTTATTTGTAATCTAAATTAAAATTGTTTTTACATTTTCTATTTCAATTATGTCAACTGACTTTAGTTGACATTAAATAAATAAATAAACTTTGTTAGAATACCATCTTCCCTAGCCAAACCTGCGACTTTTTGTTACCTTCTTAAATAATATTAATTTATTTCCATTTAGAAATCAGTTCATGCCAAAACTTCGCTCCATTTCCTATGCGGAAAATGATTTAATTTCAAAAGTTTGCAAGGTTAAAGTTTTTTTCGCCTCTTGATCAGCATCCATCATCACCACAACTTCTATAATGGTCAAATGCATTTTAGCACTAACAATACACAAAACAGATCAAAATTTAAACTCACAGAAGGGAAATCTAATCCAATATATTTAAAATCTACTACAATTCTTTTTTTGTAACGTCATTGTCTAGTGGAAGTCTTAACAGGACATCATTGTCTCGACATGCGAAATTGTTTGTTCGAACAGCCGTCTGCGCATTGTGACATGATCCAGTTGAAACCTATCTTCGTATGTCTGCATAAATGTGTGAATTTTGTATGTCGGGACAATTATACCCTGTTTCAGATTTGTACCATACATTTTGCGGGTTGAGATTACAAAATTGTTCAACAGTTAAGCCACCCCACTTTGCGAAAGGTTACATATCAGGACCAAAACCCAAAAAATTGAAAATCGAGGGCCAGCTCGCACACAAAAAGGCATGGATAGAGTGTTGCTGCTATTTTCGCACTCATTCTTTGCGATCCGGTAGTAATATAGCTGCTTTTTCGCACACATTCGTAACCCATCAGACCTATTAGAAAAAGTGCGCACGCAGGCTGGGTTTTTCATACATTGTCTGCTTAGTGATTTTAGTCAATAACGCAGATAGGTTCCTAAAGTTTATTAGGTTCCTATTACCTCAGAAGAACAGAGGCAAGTTAGATAAAGTTAGCCCAAAAACTAAGGGAGTAGTTCGCATGGAAGCAGACAGAAATGTTAAAATACACACGTTACACACTTCATCACAAAATAATTATTCCTCCGCAAGAGTATAAGTATAAATTGGTCAATACAAAATATTTTTCAAATAATCAAATTAAACTTCAAATATTCAAAATCCGCGATCGCATACACCCAATTAACGTTATAGATTATAATGTTTCTTAAAACAATTCATATTATATTATGATATAATTTAATATTTTATATCATTTAATACAATGCGATTATTATAAAATAATTTGAATATATATTCCCCTTACACTTCCAACCCCACAGCATGTGGAGTTTCTGTTTTATTTTTAAACTATATCTCAATCGAATTAAAGATAATGTTTAGCTTTTTGTTTATTGAATTTCCGTTCATTTAAGTTTCTGCGAACAATACAAAATGAATGGCGCTACAAATAAATGTATGGGTATGCAATGTATAAATAATACTTGTTAAAGTCCAAATCTCAATATATAATCAACCTACAATAAATGCAATGATTTTGCTATTAAGTATACTCCCTAAATATATATATATATTTGTATATATATACTAATGTATATAGATTATAGGGTAATTTTCCATTCAGGGACTAACAGATATTAATCAAAATTAATTATGTACTCACGTTTGAGTTGTATAATGAAACACTTGTAGTAAGGTATAAAATATGTTTAAAACTACATGTGTTTTTATATGAAGCACATATATATATATATAGAGATATACATATATATATATATATATATACATATATATATATATATATACATATATATATATATATATGTGTGTGTATATGCGCGTATTTACACAAATGTTTAAATATAAGCGAATTCAATCGAATTTCAGCCTCAAAAGTTAGAAGGCATATGTATATGTATGTGTATTTGTATTTACATAACACATATTTGTTTTCTTTTGTTTTGTTATAAAACGTTTATTTGTTTAACTTGTATTTTATAGTTAATATTTCTACTTCACTTTTTAAATTTTGTATTTTGTATGGACGCTGTATTTATCATTTATGTATATATGACCATATGCATAAAGATATAGATATTCCTATGCATACATTTAGCATACATATACATATACATATACATATTCAGGTAGAGAATGGAAATCCACGTCTATGACGAGAGAATATTATGTATTATTTGTGACGAATAAAAGCAATGCCTTTAGTCAATCAATATGGTTCTTACTTTAATAAGAGCATACAGTGCTTTATTGTTGGTAACAATATGTTCATCCAATAAAATATTTAGATTTTAGTCCGGTTTATACAGTATTCGTATGTTTGATATCTTAAAATGCATATAAGAAACGATATTCTAACTTCTTGAAATAAAAAATAAAAGTAAACATAAATTGCGTAATCAGGGGCCTGTATCTGTAGATTAGTGTGTGTGTACCTATATAGAAACTTACAGCTAATAAACTACAAAATTGTACTTAATCAATATTGTTATTATAAGTATATTGTGTATTGCTCGTTCTGTTTTGTATTTCACATAACTTGAATGTTGTTTATGTCTTACAGCGTTTGTGCTACACTTGTTTTACACAGTTTTGCAAAAATCATGAAAATAACGGATTCGAAAATGCAAACACAAATTCATGAATTCAATTTTTTCACAAAACTTAATGTGAAATGTGTACTGTTTAATTTAGCACGAAAACAATGAAATGGTGGTGGGGTGCTTATCAGTTCAGATTGAGTTTTGATTTTAACTTTGAAAAACAAAAATAAATCATGAGTGTCATAGCATGAGCGCATATATATTTATATATATATATATATATATATCTATTTTATATATATATATTTATATATATATTGAATGTATGTATGTACATCTTAAAGAATACGCTGTCTATATTATTGTATCCAGCTGCCGAGCTTGGTGTAAAATCTTCTTCTGATGCCCTACTAAAGTTATACCCATATCGGATAGCTGTTGAGCTGTTTAACCTTGAGATCTATGGATAGAAATATAAAATAGTTATAGAGGAACATGAAAGTATACATATATAAGTTACACACATACCTGTTGAGCGCTCACTAAATTAGCCTCTCTAAAGTGTTGACTGTATCTTGACATTTTAATGTTTTCAAGCCATAAATCAGTACTTATAAAAATGTTATGACCACGCTGTGAATCAAGAATATGAGTACTATCATTTTCCGGTGAATTTCGCGTCGTTAGCAGAGATTGTGGTTGTCTGGCCAAATTATCGAGGGTCGACACAATACTGGAAAATGTTGGCCGATGCGTCCGCTGCTTTTGCCAGCAATCCAACATCAACTGATACAGAGCTTCTGGACAATCCATCGGTGCAGGTAGGCGGTAGCCCTTCTCAATGCTCTTTATTACATCCTACGTAGATCATATCAATTAGTCTGCATATTTTTGTTTTGCTCTTAGATACACGGATGGAGATATATACACACCTGATTTGACCAGTTCCAATAGGGACGCTCCCCATACGACATGACCTCCCATAAAACAACTCCATAAGACCAAACATCCGATGCGGAAGTAAATTTACGAAAAGCTATTGCTTCCGGAGCAGTCCAACGAACTGGAATTTTACCACCCTGCGAAAGGAGACAAATATAACAAAAGTAAACCAAGAAAAATGAAAAACAACAAATTTTCCTTAAATATATATTAAATGAAGCATAATTTTGCATTCGGACTTACGTCCGTCTATGTAATACTTTGCAACCTGTATAAGACCAGCTTAAAACAGATGAAAAACAATCTTATTGTGGGGCTCGACCCTAGAAGGGTATTTAAAAAACGAATTCATAACATCAGATTAGGTGCGCTTATAACTGTAACTTATGTAACTTATAGCTGTAACAGAAACTTATTCTTTTGACTTTTGGAAAAAAGGATATATTCAACAGGGACTGGGGACAACCATGAAGTATCTAGTAAGACCCAATAATATCAGATCAATATATTTATATAGTGGCAACGATCTTTCCATGCTTTGGCTTTCGAGTCCTGATTTTTTTAAAATAAATATGTATTGTTACAACTTATTTAAATATGAAATAAAGTCATAAAATTAAATTAAGTTAAAAATAAAATAAAATATAGATATAACTTAACATTAGTGCCAAAAACGAACAGGAATGGGAAGGAAACTCTTCGACCAAGTAGAAGATTTATTCGCCAAATATTTTTACCATTAAGAGGAGAGTTCCCTTGAGTGCATACATATGCACTTCATATGGATGAAGAAAAACGGAAGGGCAAAAAGTTCATGGTATATCGAAGATTGTGGGAATAGAAATATCCAGTGGACTCGGGAGGAAGATTATATGTGATAATATTTAAATACAATAATAATAATAATATGGTAAGTGTAATTATGCGATCGACACTTCGTGTGTGTCCATTTCGACAATCATCCAATAGTGCAAGATACTAGAAAATGGATAGCAGATTTGTTTAGCACAACCATCAAAATGAAAACGAAGTTTTTGCGACTCAAATGAAAATAAATTATAAGTACTGCTACATAAAAAAGATTTTCAATAGAATAAATAGGCTGAAGCTCTAATATTGAAAACTCGTTGATTGGTGGAAAAACGTTGTATTAATTCTGATTAGACTGAATTCGTAACTAGTGCATATTTGATTCGGATTGTGTGCATTTTTGAACATGTTTGTAAATTATTTGAAATTTGAAGTTCAGCGTGTATAAAGTCGTGTTTTCAGGTCGCTCAAGAAATTGCAATATATTTAAAAACAAAAATATGTACTGAAAGCCAAAAAATTTAGCAATTAATTTTCTGGTCACTACGCTCTGTAAAATACACTTTTTCTTGGCACTTAAAATAATATTTCTTTCATAATTAACTTTTACATTTCGATTCACTTGCCGCATTCATGTGGTAATGGTTTTTTTTAAAAGTATTTTTTCATTATTGAGAACTTTTTTTTATCTGAATATGTCAATAACATATTCTTACCCGTGTCGTGTATGCGTCGCTAGCGTTTTCGATTTCGCGAGACAGACCAAAGTCGGCGATTTTGCAGATTAGCTGGGCATTAACGAGCACATTACGTGCTGCCAAATCACGATGGACGTAATTCATGTCACTCAGATATGACATTCCGCTGGCGATGCCACGTAGCATTACGATCAGCTGAAGTGTTTGAAACTTGCCATCATTAACGCGCAAGAAGGTATCCAGACTGCCATTTTCCATGTACTCGGTTATAATCATGACGGGGTTGGAGCGCGTAACCACACCCTGAAGGTATATAACGTTCGGATGGTCAAACTGTCCCATTATTGAGGCCTCAGTCAGAAAGTCGCAACGTGCCTTTTCCGAAGAACCTACGTTAAGATAAGAGATAAAAAAATATACACTTTTTTATATCTGTAGAAAGTTGAGAAACCATAATAATGTCTTTTATAAAAATGTACCTGGTTTTAATGTTTTAATTGCCACATCAATGTCCTGAACAAAGTTTGGCGGAATTTTGAGACGACCTCGACACACATCACCGAATTCTCCGCCACCTAACAAAATGCTCTTGAATAAAAGTGTTTTGAAGAATATAGCGATATTAATTACCAATAATGGCCTCAATTGTGATGTAATTTGCATCAATTTCACGGGCGAATTCCCTAATTGCTTGATTTGGATCTTCATAGGTATGAGGATCAACGTAGCTTCGGCTATTACCAAATAGGGGCGTCGTCACTGAAAAGCATATACAGTCAACGTAAACATTAAGTAAATTACATCGACTTGCAGTTGATGTATATGATGTAAATGAAAGCGGCGTTCTTTAATAATAATGAATGATAGGTTCATATGGATGGGCAGTTTAAAATGTTGCTTTAGAAGCCTTAACGGTGTATTTGTAAGCATTCAGAATAGGTTTGTTTACTTCAATAAAAGACTCACACCATAATAACCAAAAATTCAGAAAACATAAACAAATTATATACCATTTGAATGCAGAGTCTTGACAATTGGAGTTGTATCCATGGCATTTACTAAAAGTAAAGATAAAAACACATTGATCACAAGTTTAACAAAAATATATATTTAAATAAGAAATAAGCTAAAACTGAAATGTCGGAAATGCCGTCCACAAAAATTACTCTAACTCCAAAAGAGCGAATTTTGTCTATATTCTGTCAATCTAAATACATAAATAAATGATTCCACTTGATTAGAGCGCGTATAAAATTATGAATGAATATAATTTAAGTAAAATAGAGTATTGATGTACCAAGAATTGTATGTACAAGCATACATGTATATGTACAATCTATAGCTATATATGATATTAGTACTTTGAAGAATTAAAGGTTAAAAGAACTTACTATATGTCACAACCAGTCCTTAAAAAGAGATCGGTATCGGTATAATAATGGGTAGGGATATAAACAAATAGCAAGTGATTATTGCGAATATAGGTTCGTAGTAAATTACTTAAAAACACACACACACACACAGTTCTTAATACTATATTCAGCTTTAACTATAAACAAATGTCTTTTAAGGATATCGAAAGCAAGTGTTATTAAATACGTAGACTACAAATACTCCTCTTTTAAATTCACATTTGAAAAGAACTTCTGCGTTAATAACGACCCAGTAATTCTAGGGGAAAAATTTAACCTTGCTGGCCCCGCTGTGGGCGTGACAAGTCGCTGCCACGCCTGCGCCCATTTTCGCCAAAGCCGATATTTCAGAAAGTATAAATCGATCGCATATAACCTCCTTCAAAGATCGGCATATACATTTTCAGACCACGCCCACACCAGCCGTTCCCAGGAACTTCGGCCTTACAAAGCTGAAATGCGCATATCTTCCACAATTTGTGAGCCAAAGTCACCAAGTGTATGTTACTGGTACCCACGCCCACTCCGCCTCGCCAAACCGATATACCTGTTAATGTAAATCAATAAAACCATATATCTCACATAATTTGAAAGTTAGAGTCAGCAAAGAGTCGCTAGTGACACCCTTCAAAAATCCAGGAACAGAGTTGTCACCAAACCCGCAAAAACGATGAAAACCGAAATCTCCCGCAATCTCCCGCAATTTAAGAGCTACAGTTACCAAACTTGGAAGGAAGATTACTAGGAACCTTCTTTAATAATTTTTTCAGCCACTCTCACTCCCGCCCTCAAAATTTCCAGAATCCTATATCTCCGTAATTTAAGAGCTACGGTTACCAAACTTTGAAGGAACGGTACTGGCTTATATCTACCGCAATTTTAAATGCAAACTTGGAAAATATTTCTTGGCTGAACCCACCCGTTTTTTTGCTACCTGGTATCCAATGGTATTACGTATGGTATTAAAGTATTTCGCACTCGCCCGGATGCAACGTGTCTCTGGTTTTTGCTTGTGTTGTGTCTTAATAACCGTATTTTGTATGTGCGCTTCACCGTCCGACATTGTCTCCGTTTGTCTGTCCAGGCTGGCAATATATTTATATTTATATTTTGGAGCCTTTTTCATATATTTAATGTGCTCAATAGGTTCGGTGTCCTTAGACCAAATATGACGAGTACATTGGGGGAACATAAATATCTTCAGATGAAGCCCTAGCTTTAGGCCACTTGAACTAAAGTATTCGCTTAAAATATTTTTATAGATGCACTTTTACAATTTCTGATCAGAAAACATCATTCGTCCAGCTCCAGCTACAGCTGTATACTTCATAAGAAGTAATTATCCGCCGCCCTGCTTCCCAGTGAGAATTACGGCTTCTCGCCCAGCTATATACTCAGAATTATTTTTGAATATTAATGACGAGTCTAAATAATTTGGACTCGTTTTATTTTTTCCACAATATACATATTTTTAAATGCCACACCCACCTAAGTTCTCGAAATCTCGAAAATCTCTGTGCCTGAAAGTATAAATTGACGAAACCTATACAAACCTCTTCAAAAACTATGAAAACACATTCTTACAGCTAAAATTTAAATATTATTTTAATTACGGTTAGGGGTGAAGTTAGCATGATTTTCCGTTTGGAGAACACTTATACTTTGCAATCTGGACACGATCTGGAAAATATCTAGCAACACCTTGTCACTACAATTTTAATAGCAACCTGCTTTGCTATTCGTTGTCAGACATTTTGGTGTAAGTGCTAAACAAAGAATGCAGTTATAAAATGGAAACAACACAAGTTGGGTGATTATGTTCCTTATGTATACAAATTGTAGCTGAAAATTAATGTTGTTGTCTGAGCTTATGTGAAAATACTATAACGAATTTTGAGTGACTGTCAGACACTGCCTAAAAACACATATTCCCCAATGAAATATAAAAACAAGATTTACTCTTAGCCGAACTGCTGTTATTTTTTGTTATCACCAACGTATAAAAGCCCTTTAATTCGTAAAGAATTTCTAAGTTTCTTAATCGATCGATAAAGTCTAGTTTATCGACTACATTTTTATTTTTTTCATTAAATAAAACTTTAGGGCAATGTAATCCGATATTTGTCACAAATATAGCTGATATACCTGCTTCAATCCAACCCACTATTTATTCGTAAATCAAGCAAGAATTATATATGAAATGATATTAAAGGTAAATAAATTACCTTTCCAAACAATATAAAAGCATAAATAAAAGAAAAATGCTCTAGTCGAGAAGCTTTTTCATATATAGGGAAATACAACCTAATAGCAATCGGTATTTATTAGAAGCTAAAATATAATCCTGAACATACCGTCGCGACCGACTGCTTTTGGGAAAGTTAAGATAAGTGAAAGAGAACTCATTTTTTTGTAAACTATCAGGTCATTTTTCCCAACTTTTTTCGATCAAGCAGTTATTTTGAAATAAGATTTGTCTGCAAGTTGATCCACATCATAAAGTCACTTTTATGCGTACATAAGTAAAATAAAGTTTATACGTACCTTCATTGCTTGCGTAATCCATTGGCAAGGGAAGATGGTTAGTGGACTTTTTATCGAGCTCGTCTTGATGTTTGGATCTCATAAAATAGACAGTCGCAACGATAAAGATGACCAGAAAGAACACGCCCGTCACAATGGCTCCAGCAATAAATCTTATTTGAATGGAATCGTCATAGACTATCATCAAAAATAATGAAATCAAATCAAGTTAGAGATTTTTGTTTAGGAACATTTCATTTACGATTGGTGAAAATAATACCTGAGCCAACGGATTGATGAGTCTGAGCATAGACCATATTGCTGTAGGTGCCAAATCCATTGATAGTTTTACAGCGCACTTGAAACCCGTATTCAGTATTCTCCAACAGATTGGTGAGGTGAATTTTAGTCTCCTTTGTGTTCAATGCCGTTTTATTGATCGTGTCCAATTCGGATTTGGGAAACCAACGAACTTCATACAACTCGATGGGCGTTTCACTCTGAACAGGCTTATCCCAAACAAGATCGGCGTCATTGTTGGTTATGGCCACAACACGCAAATTGAACACCGTCGAGAGCATAACGGACTCCGTGGTGAATACAATTTCAGCATGTTTCGTTTTAATTTCGCTAAGATCCACCTGTTGACTATTGCCACTCAAAAAACTAGAAGCATTCACAAATGGACTCTCACTATTCGTATATGTTTCGTTAGCATAGGGCTCGATCAAAGACGAGATGCCATTTGTCGCATGAATTTGTACTGTATACGTGGTCACCGGATCCAGATTGGTGAGTGTTATTTTCGTTTCATTGAACGTGTCTGTCGATGGATTAAGCATAACATTCGAGCTGCACATGATACAACGCACTTTATAGACAATATCAGTACGGTATTTCTCAACTGTATTTGCCAGATATAAATCATCTTTGACTGGAGCACTCCATGATATTATTGCGCTTGTTTGATCGACAAATAATAGGGTGAGATTCATGGGTGCTCCAGGCGGTTTATAGCAGGGCATATGTCTGCCGTCCGCAGGATGTCGATAGAAGCCTGGCACGCACTTGCACAACGGCGAACCCGTTTTAGAGCTATTCGAATTGGGTGGACATGGCACACACTTACGCACCTCAGACGATCTAAACGTGCCTACAGGACACTCTGAAATGAACGTGGGTAACGTTTAATTCGAGTCTACAGAAATGTGTCATGAAAGTCACTCACCTTTACACGTGTTATTCGCATCATTTGCCTCAAAGCCGACCCTGCAACGACAGCCTCCCGTCAAAATTGTCCATTTGCCATCGCCCTTGCACAAGTAGGTGGGTGGCTCATAGGGTTCGGCGTTCTCGACACATGTACCATTTTGTTTCTCAATTATTGTGATCTCGCGGCCGGTGGGCGTCTCATTGAAATGGGCAAAGTTCTCCGTGACCGCCGGACATGTGATGTAGTAGACTTTTACCGCAAGAACACTTATGCAAGCGCCCTGATCCCGGAAAGCGAAATAGACACCCTTCTTGTTAACAGCTATGCTCTTCACTTCGGTATTTATATCCACATCGGAATTTTGATTAAAGCGCCCTTCACCAGCGGCAATTCGAGCGATCAGTTTGTAACTATCTGTCTGCCATGGCGGCGGCTCTCGAGTCGCCGCATCGAATTCATAAAACAATAAGCTAAACGTTTCCTTACAGGACAAGGCATTTCCTAAAAATTAATTGCAGTTTTTTTTTAAGTCTTACTTCCCTTCGTGCGAAATATGTCATAAGTTTTATACCTGGAAACAATGAACAGTCCCGAATTGTAAATTGTATTTCTATATAAAGACGGTTAGCAGGTCCACGGTCAATGAATGGGGACCAGAGCCAGTTGTTAACATTGTGATAGGCAACATCGCAAACCACATAACTACGCCAATTAATGCCCTTTACAAAATCTGTAAATGATTCCTCTACCCACTGAATTAAGTGGATATCATGAAAAATATATGAGTATTATTATATTGAGTTATTAGAACTTTTATATATATGATACATGTTTTAAGCAACAAAAAAAAATTAAGTTTAAGTTGAGGTTTAGTCTTATTAACACTTAACCTACCGATGCTCCATGTATTCCTATTCCTACCAAAGCGGATCAAATGACCCGTCTTTAAAAAGCATAAAAAGAAAAAAATTAAATATTCTGCAATTGAATCTCAAATTTAGAAAACAATTAAATAATATGCTAACTTTATTCACGTTCGCCGCATATTTTCAAATTGTTGGGTTCTCGAAGGTACATTTTCCACACACATATTTATTGCATTTGAAACAGATTTTCGTAGTTTTTTTTTAACCATATTGTCCATAATCAGATATTATAGCAAATTTGTCTGTTTGTAAACGCTGGCTTCGTTGACTTTGTCTGATATGTGCTACGTGCATATAGATGCAATAAATGCTTTTAGTTTTGCAGGAGTAAGATTCCATTGAGTTCCCAGGCTTCTTCTATACATTTTCTTGTCTGCTCCATTACACGATTGTATATAATCAAAGAAAATGCAGTTCTTATTTTGCCCTAATAAAATTTCGCCATAATATTTCGCTTGGCTTATGCTGTCGTTGTGGGTCCATCCCTAAGAATATTATAAATTGGAGATCGTCCAGGTATTGAACCTTGTTCAATTTCTTGAAAAATTGTACCATCAGTACACCGGTCTTTCACATCACTTTCACTTTCTGAACTCGATAACAGTCTTCCTCTCTTTTGTCCTCTTCGTACATTCAAAATATTCTCGACTTCACTTTCGTTACCTGAGGACTCACATTCGTTTGTAGTATGAAATTAATCACTATATTCTTCTATGGTATCCACTTCACTTTCAGATAGTTCCTGTTCACTAAATTCCTCTTCTTCATATATTATTTATAATTTTCAATGATTTCAAATATCTTGAATGACATTTTTGGGATAAGAATTATTAGTAAGATGATGAAATAAAAATTCTTGATTCACAAAATAGCACTATTACTTGAAATTCTTACTGTAATACTCGCTGGAGTCGACTGAAATTGGCTATTCATCCGTCAGCCAACAACAAATATAACACAATGCAAAATACGAGGTGTGTTCAAAAAGTATCGCGAATTTTGTGTTTTTTCAGATATTATTTATTTATTCATGAATATCTATTTTGTCCCCTTCAAAGTAATCCCCATGAGATATTATACACTTGTGCCAACGGTTTTTCCAATCTTCGAAGCACTTCAAAAAATCATTTTTTATCTTGTCCAGCTCCTCCTAACGTCGTTCTTTCATGGGCCTCTTCAGTTTAGGGAACAAGAAAAAGTCACAGGGGGCCAGATCTGGGGAATACGGTGGCTGCGGCATCATTAGTGTGTTGTTTTTGGCCAAAAAGTCGCGCACAAGCAACGATGTGTGAGCAGGGGCGTTATCGTGGTGCAAAAGCCAATTTTTGTTCTTCCACAAATCCGGGCGTTTCTGGCGGATTGCTTCGCGCAAATTGCGCATAACTTGCAGGTAATATTCCTTATTGACCGTTCTACCCTGTGGCAAGAACTCATGATGCACCACGCCCCTGCAATCGAAGAAAACTGTCAGCAAAACTTTCACATTCGACCGAACTTGGCGCGCTTTTTTCGGTCTTGGTTCGTGCGGCAGCTTCCATTGAGATGATTGAGCTTTGGTTTCCACGTCGTAACCATAAACCCACGATTCGTCACCAGTTATGACCCTCTGGAGCAAATTTGGGTCGTCGCGGACAGAGTCCAACATCTCATTAGCAATGTTCATGCGATGCTGTTTTTGGTAGCAATTGAGCAATTTTGGTACGAATTTCGCGGCGACCCGTCTCATGCCCAAATCATTGATAAAAATCGAATGGCATGAGCCAATCGATATGTCTAGCTCCTCAGCAACTTCTCTAACGGTGATTCGACGATTGGCCAATACCATTTTCTCCACTCCATTAATTTTTTCGTCTGTTGTTGAAGTGCTCGGGCGTCCGGCACGCTCTTCGTCGTTCACATCTTCTCGGCCTTCTGAGAACATTTTGTACCACCGATAAACGTTGCTTCGGTCCAAGGTAGCTTCTCCGTATGCCACAATCAACATTCGGAATGCATCCGCGCACCTAATTTCGTTTTTCACACAAAATTTGATACAGGTTCTTTGATCCATTTTTTTGAATAGGTAAAAATCGAAGACGATCCAAAACACGTGCAAGCAAAGCAGCTGTCAACAATTAAGTGAACATTCAAAATGGCCGAGCTTGTCGGCATAAGTGAGAGACATGAGTACCAACATAACGCTACAAAAAAATCGAAATTCGAATATACGTAACCCGCGAAAATTCAAAATTCGCGATACTTTTTGAACACACCTCGTATATCAACATATCAATCACACGAAATACATATCAAGATACAGAATCTTTGCATGGGTCAAATGACCGCTTGCGGTAGTTAGGGCAGATTACATGTTTTTCTCGGTAAAAAAAATTAACAAGAGAGGAGTAAATTTTGAAAAATACATTCGATTTTTTTTTAAATTATACTCATAAAGGCAAATGGCGATGAGATAATGCTGTTTTCAAGAATCCTTTATATACTTTTAAATAGATATATATATATATATACATATATTATATTATATATTACATCATACACTTACGCCTGGAGTTTGAGCCTGGGGTCCATAAGGATACCTCGTCCATTCTAGTGTAGCTTCCCTCGTTGTGTCCAGCAAAACAACTATAAATTCAGATTGTAACAAAATAATTGACATAATGCAATTAGGCAGATCGGTGCTATTTGGTATCTGCTTACCTTGATCAGCGTTTACAGTTCGTAAAATATACGCGATGGCAATTAGCAATATTAATTGAATAATTTTCAATTTACTTAGTTGTGTAGTGTCAACGCATCGGAGGGTATAACACTGCATCGGCATCTGATACTTAACTATTGGCACAGGTAATTGTGTGGAAGCCAGTTTATTTTTTGTGGAGCAAGTTGCATCATCATCATGTCGACTCTTTTTCCTTTTGAGAAATCCGAATCGCCAAAGCGTTGATTGCATTTCGCTTTTATGAAATGTAATCTCGATCGTCTTGGAATATTTGATTTAAATCATGCGACATACACAATGTGTTGGCTGAACTGTTGATCGGAACAAGATAATACATAATATATCAATACAATTCAAATACTACAAACATGAAATTCTACTCGAAAGAATACAGACTTAATAATAATAATAACTCCTCTAAGAATTCGATATAAATCACTTTAGCGATCGCCGTGTTTGGTTTCGACCTATTGTGTGATCCAGCATTATAAACATAAATCTATAACTTTTATGAAATCATTTACAGTTGCTGTCAAAATAACTGCAAATACCCATTATTTTCATAACTCCGTTCAAAACGCCTTCGATTTCTTGGACCATTTTACTCTGCGGTAAATCTCCTCTCAGCCCTTTTTTGTACTTTACGCCTTTTGTTTATCTTCTGTTTTGGACTCTTTAGTCAAAATAATATTAGTGCAGTTCAAAATAGTCAAAATATTTAAAAGTGAACAAGTATATTAAGTGTTTTGTGTAAATTAATTCAATAATAACTCACAAAAATATGGATCATTTTTTATATAGATCGTGGCCAACATAGCACTGCTGAATTTCGTAACCTCTTAAAAATCAAACAAAAAATTCTGTTAAACAACAAATGGTTTGTTTCTCATCGGCGAATAGTTTAAAATACTATTAAAGTCTAAACTTCCCTGAAAATCAGTAATATTAACCAAAATACCATGTTTTGGGAACCATTCTAAAATGATACTACCGTTACAATGTGGCATCGAATACTGAGACAGTTTATAATAAAGAGAGATACTAAGCAAATAGGTATTGCTAGCTTATAAAATGTTTCACTTCTGAGCTATATTTGAAATATTTTTCTTAATATTTTTCTTAACATTTTTCAAAACTACTATTATTTTCAACGCAGTGGTATATAAAATAAAAAATTTATTTCAAACTATACGTGAAGTGCCAAGATGCTTAATCTAACAATGATAACATAAGACCTTGGGATGAGCATAATTGTAGATAGTTTTATGATTATAGAAATTTCAATAAACCATCCAAAGCATTTCGACAGCAGTCTATGATCGAATTATCGACCAATTCCTGACTTCATATAGTATGTCTCCAGTTTCTAGTTTGTCCTTTTGTTTTTCCCGAAGACATGTAACAAACGTCAAATATTAAAAATATTTGTAATCTATTTAATTTAAATTTATTAGTATGTTTGATTTTTAATTCATTTAATTTATTTATAATTTTTGTATTCGTTTGCGTCGAATAAAATTAAATAACAAAATAAATATGAAATATTCGCTGAACTTTCATTGCTCGCACTAAAAATAAAAAGTTCTCTCCAACTGGAAGGTATGTGTGATCGCTCGGTTTTAATCAATTAATATTACATTTTATTTTTTATTTAATTTAACTTTTTATATTTTTATATGTCGACTGACTTTAGTTGACTTTAAATAAATATAAAGTAAATTCTGAATGTTCGTATACAGAAATATAGCGAAATCTTATACATTCTTATTTTCTAAAAATTAAATTGAATTTTCAGTCTTATTTTTAATTTAATTTTGTGTCGAGTGACATTAGTTGACATTGAAAGTAAATAAATTAATAAGAAAAATTCGCTGAATTTTTGTATACGATAATCTTATAAATATTTCTTATTTGTTAATTTAAATTGAATATTAAATTTGATTTTTAATTTAACAAATTTGTCCTTTTTTTTATTTATTTTTGTGTCGACTGATATTAAATAAAAAAAAAGAAACATTTGCTTCGTGTTAAGTAGTCAATCAGATAGCAAAGGAAATTAATTATGGTTGATTTTTGCAGCTCTTTTATATACATATTCAGCCAGTTAAGATTATAATATCTCGTAATTTTAATAAGCTCCCAATAAAACGTCTTAATTTCTGGTGTAATATATTATATGAGACAGACGCAAAACATATCCGACACTGTATACTTGTTTTATATATTTAACTATTTATTGAGCGTTACTTCTGTTTATTATTGAAATCGGACAATTGAATTTTTTTTGTTTACCTTAAGTTTTCAAATTAGTTTCAATGTCAAGGCATAATAAATCATAAGTTTTGCTTAAATTATTAATTTTTGTTATTGTTATTTATTTTTTATTTTATTTATATTATTTTTAGGTGAGCACAAAAATCGTAAATTTAAGTGTATTTGACACAACATATGCATACACATAAGCATACACATATGCATACACATACACACACACACACACACACACACACACACACACACACAATAAATGTACGTATTTATGTGTCTGCCTGTCGCTCTTGCAGCGAAATTGAGATTTATAAAGAATTATTCAAGAGTTACATTTTATGAATAAAAGCCGCACTTACAACGATCAGAAATTGAAAATGGTGGATTGAAACACTTGAAAAATTAACACGCCGCACTCAGATATCAGATATAGACCTACATATATACATACATATTTATAAGTAAATAAATACACACACATACATGTGCATTTACAAATACACACAGTCACTTTTCAGTCGTCCACAAGCGAATTGCACATTTATTGAAAATCAAACGCAATTTCAATTCAAAATCACATGTTATTCAATTTTCACATAAAATAGCAAATTTTTGCAGCTGCATTTGGTCACTTTTTGTTTTTGATAAACGATACAAAAAGTATATGTATACATTCCACAGAAAAGCGACAGTGCTACCATACTTTATACTTCTCAACAATTTTGAGTAGTTCACTCTGCCGAATTCTTTCCAACACTGGTAAAATGCATCACTGAACCACTTTGTCAGTGCTGGCATTCCAGCAACATAAAAGCAAAATCTATCACTTTAAGTAACGAAAACTGTAAAGTACCGAATCCCTTTAAAATTTTGAACTATCGACACTCTCAGTGCTGGCATTGATTATACAAAAGAACCACCAGCAAAAACAGCCAAATCTAGTTCAAATATTAATTAAGTACACTGTAATAGTGAACTATCGATGCTATCGGTGTTGGTATATTACACAACAGAACCACTAGGAAAAAAACCAAATATATAAATAAATATTTAATACTCAATACTAACGTAATTGTGACTTAAAATGTTAAAAACCGTTTTTGTTTTCTTTTAATACGTGAGCTTATATTTGCTATTTTTGCAGAATCGCTGTTGAAGGTGTATTTTAATTATTTAATTTTTTTTGCAAGATCTTTTAGTATGCAAAAGCATATCCGAGCCGACGTAAAATTTATATATTCTTGATCAGAATCAATAGCTATGTAGATCTAGCCATAAATAGAATTTTAGAATTATAATTTCGTTGGCGCTTTATTGGTGATGATAATTTTGAAATTGATAGGACATCGATAGCAATCGATAAAATATACTAACTTTTTGCAAAAATAGAGAAACTTGTCTATATAAGACTAAAAGCAAATATATTTTGATCCAAAAGTTTTGAGAATCTTATTAAAACGCTTATTAAATATTACATATTGTCGTTATTAAAATGTGCGATTTTATGCCATTTGCAAAAGTGCGTTCACTTTGCCATGGAAGTGTGACCATGCAGCGATTGTTGGAATATGCAGCAAAAACGCTACTCGGACTTGGGAAAATCAATACAATTCACTTTACATTATTATTGCGAATGGTAAAGTCCGTTTAATAGCTAAATTTGAAGTTTGCACAATTCTCAACACTTCTTAGAGTTTCGAAAGCGCTGTAAATGAAAATCAAAGCTGTGAATTTAATTGAATAGTTTAAGCCGTGATTTGTGTATGTAAGTATAAGCATATGTATGTATGCACATAATGTATATGTTGAGTGTGGTCTATGTCTATATAACTGTATATATAAGTGTATGCATATGTATATTTACTTCATATTTGCAAGTGTGTATATGTATATATATATTCATTTACGCAAGCATGTGTGAGTGTTAAATATATATGTATGTAGAAATCAGTGTGTTTGTGTGTGTGTTTGATATCGCGTCGACTTTTTTGGTTAAACCGCAATCTGTTTTATTTAAAACGAAATCAATTTATTCTTTCGTAGTTTGCCTACGACTTCACGCACCTTTGGACATTATACTCAAAAACAAAGAAAAATTTAAAAACTGTATTTATGTATATACAGCTGCGGTCAAAATAATAGTAGTGCACACATATGTTTTGGAAAACAAATAATTCAAATATAGTTAAAGGTTATTATCTTTGAAACGTATGTCCAACTGGTCGCAACACTCAATGCTTGTAAAGGATTTTTTGATAATAATCAAAAATGGGTCGCATTTTCATGGCTTTTCCAAGGATTTTTTGATTGTAATAGTATTTTAAATAATTCCCAAATGAGAAATCCACCATTTGTTGTTTGGCAGATTTTAATTTTTTAAATTTTTGAAGATTTTTAAGAGGTAGTGTTCTTTAGCAGTGCTATGTTTGCCACGCAATTTGCCAAATTTTTTTTCGAATAATTTTAGATAAGTGAATGAGCTATTGTATTATTTTACTCAAAAAGCTCATTCAAATTTAACTATTTCAAATATTTTCACTATCACTAATGTTATTTTGTGACATATTAATAAAACAGTCCAGCACAGAATATAATGAAAAGGAATAGATAAAAACAATGGTCCAAGGAATCGAAGGCATTATGAATGAAGCTATGAAAATATTGAGTATTTGCATTGCTTGAAGCAGGCATTCTTATTATTTTGACCGCAACTGTATGTGTTTATGCCACAATTCGATTATTTGCTTTTAAAAGCACGTAAACGTAAACAAAAACTAATCGTTAATTTTAATGTACATATGTATGTGCTATGAACTTGCATATGTTAATAGATTTTTTTTATTAATAGTTTTGCCTACACACGAAATGGAAATTTTAACCAGTTCCAAACTAAAACCACATCGAACAAAAAACATCTATAAAAAAAATATAGAAATAAAAAAAGAACATATATAAAGTGATGGCAAATGTATTTGGTTGAATTAAAACTAACATTTGTTCACACCTGTCAAATGTAGTTATTTTTTAACAGTTTTCCTTAGGACCTCAAACACTACCTGTATATGCATGTGTGTGTAGGCGTTGTTGCATATTTTGGTGTAACGCGACAATCTGAATCAGTATGACCATTTCCATCTGTTCTGCAGTCTTTCTGTCTGTTCTATGTGTATCTCGCTGTTATTTTGAAATGACGGATCGAATCAATATGTTCTATTAAACAGATAGTTTGTCTATGCACAGTTTTGTACACTGATTGTCATATAATTGGAAACACTTCGTTTTAATTAGCAGGGCATGTGTTGGTGTGGCTGCTCTTAAGCCAGTTTTCAGTTTCAAGACAGCTTGAACAACAACAAATTTACTCAGCATTCCACAAAATGGATAATATTTGCGGTTTTTTGGTTTATGCTGAATTTCGCTGTACAAAGTAATAAATAATAATAAAACGTTAATATTTGATGGCTAAAATTAAAAAATATCGTTAAATTTAACATTTACATTTTACTGATACTCGATATATATTTAACATTTAAAGTCGAGCCTGTAGCTTTTGAAACGGTCCCTAATTATATGTCCAGCACTGTGCATACTTGAGTATATTTCAATGCGAATTAGTTCATCAGCCTTAAATCTATCTTGGGTTAAAAATTGAATATATCCATTTATATATTTATTTATGTTCTTACTGCAGATCACATGAGCTTGATGTTTTTTTTTTTCTATACATAAATATGACAAATATAAATGTGACGAATACAGTTGCGGTGTAAATATATTATTCTAATCATTTTTGACTCACAACGGAATTATGTATTTGAATTTTTAATCTATGTACATAGATGAATACATAAAAACAATTCAGATTTGTTTAAACTTATCAGCTGCGAGTTCACCTTTGACTTTGAAAAAATGAATGCTGCTTTTTATATTTATAAACAATACAATAAAAACAATAAAGCACAACAATCGCATGTATTGATTAGTTAATTATTATAAAAGAATTTTAAAATAAAAAAACTTTAATTAAAATTTTTTTCCGATACATTTTATGGTATGACTAACTAGACTACTAATTCGGTCATCTTTCAATTTTGCACGGATGAATAACTATCTGAAACAGTGCCATAAAGTGTAATCATCAAGATATCAATTCAGAGTTTGATTATACTTAATTAACTAGCCCTTTAGTTATTTGTCAAATTTCGGATCTACATCGATGCCAAATATATCATCCAGCTGCCTTTTATAAATTCGATTTATTATGCAAAGTACTAGTGTCGCTAAAAGATATCAAGGTTTTTTTTAAACTGATTTTTAGTTTTTTCATGCTTATGAGCCCCAGTTAAAGGATTTAATTATTCGATGAACTATAAACAGTATATTTTAAAAAATAATAGATTTAAATTGAATATAAATATATAATATAATTTATTATATATAATATAAATATAATTAAAATTATATAAAATTAAAATAAATAAATATAAAATAAATAAAGATTTAAAAAAAAAAAAACCGGATAAAAAATTGTTTTGACTGATTTTAATTCCCAATTACTTAATTGCCTTGTTGCAATCAATTTTCTAGAGTTTCTTATTGATTTTTTATGTTTGATCTAAGTGGTTGTTGTTGCTCAAAGTGTCAATAAGGTCTGCACGACAAAATACGCATCATTGATGGAGTTTATTTGGAACAAGATTGACGAGTTATTTGTGGACAACAAAAGTTATATAACATTAATATGTTAAACATTTTTATTTCGTTATTTACTTTTGAATTATACGTACATAAAGTGACATGCTCCATTTTCATAGGAAAAATCAGTATAAATGCCTGTGCAATTATTTTTTATTTGTTCTGAATTATATTATAATTATTTTGCCGTACTCATTAATATTAAGTTTTGTCCTAGAAATATATTTAAAGTAATCGTAAAATATGTAGCACGTTTGAAAGCTTGTTTTTTAAATTAAAATTAAAAGTATTTAGTTTGACATATGAAGCACACTTTTGTTGAATCTAAAATATATTTTAACGTCTCCAATTGTCTCAAAGAAAACTATCGAAAAAATATTTTATTTTAAATTTTTTAAAACAGCTGTAGTAGTAATGAATTCAATTTGCATATAGCACTCAGATATCAAAACCGAATATTTTCTTTAAAAATGGAAACGGAAAAACCAAACCTTTCTTAACATCATTTTGTTTTAATTTTTTAACTTCATCATCTTTATTAAAAAGACGTCATTCGAATTCGATTGATGCGTATCTTGGGTTAGCATCTTAATCAAAATACATCTCTCGTAAAATTACAAGTTTTTATATATAATAAATACTTTATACTAGAATGACTAGAAATATTCAGCGTGACAAACAAAAATCAAAAGTTACTTGCTGTGTTATACAATCGGTGGGTTACCTGCAATTATATATAGTCCTCAAAGCACACACAAACAACAACTGCAGATACAACATACATATTTGTTGAGCTTACTTAGCTGGAAAATTTAGATGCAAGGCAGATTTCTCTCACTTTACTATGGAACGAGCGAACCATAGATGGAGCTAGCTTGCAACTCATTACGTTGCCATTGCCTTCTTTTGGAAAAATCTTGCAAACGATCGCATGATCTGATGTATACGAATATTATTTCAGCAGATCGGGACTTAGTGTAAGCACGCCAAAAACGAAGCCATAAGCTCCCTTCACTCGTCCCCAACCACAAACACATATAGTCCGATCCGGCCATCATTAGACCGATATATCTATATGGAGTATTCATCTGCTGACCTGTCCATGACAAAATCTCCTGTCTTTACATAGTGTCACAGCCAGGCTAAATCTTTAGCACTCTAAATTAGATAGTTCAACTTTAATATAGCAGTCGAGATTGGAAATTTCATTACTATTTTCTGAATTTCAGAGCTACTTTTTTTTTATGTTTTAGAAATGCACTTCTTAATAATCGAAATTGTTTCTGAAATACAAAAAATAAATAATTTAATTGAATTTAAGAAATAAATTTATCATTAGCTAGAGCAAAACATTTGACCTGCTTAATAAAGTTTTATCAAGTACTATAATCTTATTTATAAGGATATCTCTATATTCTTTGATAATATATATTAATAAGTACGTTTGCAAATTATTCAATCAATTTATGTTGCAAACTTGTTTAATTTTTCCTTACTCAATAGGCAGACGTTTGCTTTCAATAAACTGTGTAGCTAGCTAGGAAGCCGCATATTTTAATTTCTGGGAAATTTAGATGATAAATCTCTCAAAAGAACTAAATAAATTTTAAAATAATGCCACTGTTTGGCAAAAAAGATTCGGGCAAAAAGGCCAAATCTAAAGATTTGAAGGAGTTAAACAAACAGGTGTCAATTGAAGAGAAGTACAACCTCCATGGTCTTCTAGGGACGTGAGTATTTGCTTTATTTTAATAACTGATTACAGAAATAAAGTGTGCCCTTTTTTTTGCATAGGGGCGCATTTTCTGAAGTGCGCTTAGCCGAAAGTAAAGAATCACCTGGCGATCATTTTGCAGTTAAAATTATCGATAAAAAAGCGCTGAAGGGAAAAGAGGAATCATTGGAAAATGAAATACGTGTACTTAGAAGGTAAGTTGAATTTATATAAATAACAATATTTTATTTCAAAATGCAAATACGAACGCGCTACAATGTATATGAGGGTATTCAAAGTGACCCCCACAAACTGAAGTCTCCAAAGTAATCTTCATAGCACTGTTTGGATTGATTTGCAACTGTTATTAAAATACACCTATTTAATTTCTTACGAGAATTTCTCCACCCATTTGCGTTACTAAATAATTTAAAGTGCGACACTTGTTCCTGGGGCGAGTTATCTCATATATCTGATCAATTACTTTTCAAATTTTATTTCCGCTTATTTTTGTATCCTAAATATCTGGACATTTGGGGAAGGCTACTTTTAACTTGTGAGTTTATGATGAGAAGCATTTTAAGTAGTGAATTTGAATGGAGAAGCACAGTCTGATTAGGATCTCTGATGACAGTATTTTGCCTGTCTGCATATTACTTATAACTTACTTACTTATAAGGAAGAAATCTCTGCTTTTCATTTCTTTGTTTCATTTTTAAAATTTTCTTGGTTTCATTTGCTTTCTTTCTATATAGGTTCAGTGCGAATCATTTCGATGGCAACAGTCCGAATGGAACGCGGTGAGTTATGACCCCGAACCCGTCCTGTTTTTGCTAAATGCAAGCAATTTACGTACAATTTAAATTAGTCGGCTATATTCATATATGTCTTTAAATAGGATCAATCAAGTTTGTAATTGATTTCAAGTACTGTCTAATCCCATCTAAAGCAACTGTACGATAGATAGATATTCCTTTTTATATTTTTTTTTGAGGATATCAACATTATTTAGAGGTCATATACTCTGTAAAAATAAATCGCTTGTGTAGCATGATGATATAATGATATAATATAATGTCATTTATATATATATATATTTTCATAATTTTCGTTACAGACTAACTCATCCAAATATCGTGCAACTTCTTGAAACGTACGAAGACAAGGCAAAGGTGTATCTGGTTATGGAATTGTATGATTTTTAAATAGCTTCTAGCACTAAACATACAATACTTAGAGGTGTTAAATAAACAATAATGTGCGCTATTGTCGCTCTTTACAATAACTTACTGTTTTGCATCCAAATTGTAACGCAAAATTCTAATTAATTAATTTTAATCAGCTATGTTAAGTTTTATAAGGCGAGCTATGAATATTAATCAACTAGACGGTTACTTCGACCTCCAAAATAATATATATCATTTTGTTCAGCGTCGAGTCGATATGGCAATATCTTTATATCTGTTTCTATTCTCTCTGCTTAAAGCGGAAAATGATTAATTAATTTTTTGAAAACAAATTGAAAAATCAATTAAAAACTGCCATCAGCAATCTTACACTTTTTGAACACACAAGCAGTAAAAACTAAATTTTTCCGCTAATGACTCCCCAAAAAGAAAGTTTGCTGCCTTTTGCAAGAGCAATCAATTTTTTGTAGATTGAGCACACCCATAGTGTAGTCTATGTTTAGTGCTTGTGAGATTTCGGATGATTAACGCGATTATTTCTATATAGAGTAACTGGCGGAGAATTGTTCGACCGTATAGTGGAGAAGGGATCGTATACCGAGAAAGATGCATCACACTTAATTAGACAAATCTTAGAGGCTGTAGACTATATGCACGAGCAGGGCGTTGTACATAGAGATCTCAAGGTAACAAATAAGATACGTAAACCTTAATGAATTTCATTAATTCTGTATTTTGAATTTGTGATTTTGTTTGATACAGCCCGAAAACTTACTATACTATAGTCCGGACGATGAAAGCAAAATCATGATAAGCGATTTTGGTTTATCAAAAACGGAGGATTCGGGGATTATGGCAACGGCATGTGGAACTCCAGGATATGTAGCGCCAGAAGTACTCGCCCAGAAACCGTATGGCAAGGCCGTTGATGTTTGGAGCATAGGCGTCATATCCTATATACTCCTTTGTGGTTATCCTCCATTCTACGATGAAAATGACGCTAACTTATTTGCACAAATTCTAAAAGGTATATATATATATATATATATATATATATATATATATATACAAATTATATATATATATATAAAATGCTACAAACTTCTGGACCAAACGATATATAATTTTTTTTTTTTTTGTAACAAACAAGTATGTGGAACTTGTATGATTGTAGTATATATAGGTACAGTAACCAGACCAAAACGTGTGTAATTTCAATGACTGCGATGACTTTTAATTTGACTAAAGCCATTAAAGTCGATACCTATACTTTTCAAATTTATTTGACTATAGCCAGCTAAACTAACAACATTTATTTCTTAAAATATACTTGATAAAAGTAAGCAAACACATGCACATATAGGCAGACTGTTCATCGCAAACTATTATTAATATTAACATTTTCCAAAAAAGCCCCAACCAGTCAACTCCAATTCTCATGAGTCAGCAGAATTCCAATTTTATCATTTAAATTTTCAAGTTAGACCATATTTCTATTGGCATATGTCTCAGTATAATCCGACTACTTTAGCAATGATAGCAAATACTAAAAAAAAATTTAAAATATACAGATCTGTCCAAAGTTATTATAGGATTAATTAAATAAAACTGTCTTAGACACATACAACATATAATATTTAATTTTTAGGTGAATTTGAGTTCGATTCACCATACTGGGACGAGATAAGCGAGTCGGCCAAGCAATTTATCAAAAACCTAATGTGTGTTGCTGTAGAAAAGCGCTATACTTGCAAGCAAGCATTGGGACATCCGTGGTGAGTAATAACGTCGATTTAATTGGTGTTTTATAAATGTTAAATCAATTGCAAACTTATTGTAGGATATCTGGAAATGAGGCAAGCAGCAAAAACATTCATGGCACTGTATCGGAACAGCTTAAGAAAAACTTCGCAAAGTCACGATGGAAGGTATGAACTCCTCCAAAAAAAGAATTCTTTTCGGTTTACGATTAATGTTCATCACTATTTTAAAGCAAGCGTATTATGCGGCGACAGTTATCCGGCAAATGCAGCGAATGGCGCTTAGTAGCAACAGTAGCTCGACGGCTGATGGAAGAACCTCTGTTAATATATCTTCGGACAATGGTAATGGCCAAGTCTCTGTTACAGTTGAACCTGCATCTACCGGACCCATTGAGCCCGCATCGGCCGCGCAGTCAACATCCGACACAACATCTTTGATGGATTCAGTTCAATCTGTCAGCCCACGCAACGACATTAAAATTCACCAAAGAATCTCGCCAAATAGTAGTTTCAGCAGCGGCCAAGCCAACTAGGTGTATCCTACACACGCAGTTAAATAATTTTATAAACGGCATATGTGCTGGCAAAAAAAAAATCACACACAGTCCATAAATGTTATGAATAATGTTCACTTGAACTTGGCGCGATCTACGGCTTTTGCAAAAATACGGAATTCTATTTTGTTACTGCATATCAAATCGTTTAAATTTTATATACATATTTTCATAAAGTTTAAGTAACGTCGAGCATGTCGCGTTGAAACCATTGCCACGCCTATCACATTTAGATAGTTTTGAGCCAATCAAGATAGAACTTCGCACATATTAAAAATAAACACGTTTTTTATTTTATATAGCTTTTATATCATCCTGTTCAGATCAATTTGTAAACTTGTTTGTTATAGTTATATGAATTTCTATATTTTTCATGGTATTTATTAAAATTTAATATTTTGTTTAAACAATTATTTGAAAAGGTTTCCCGCACTTTTAATCTAAGTGTGTTCTTGAGAAAATAAGCGCTGTTGTGTTTGTATTTTTTGTTTCATTTATATTGATTACGCTTTGCCTGCAAAAATGTACATCACCAGCAATTCCAAAAAAAGCTTTGCCATTGAATATGAGAAAAAAAAGAGACACAAGAAGAAGAATGAAAAACCTTGCAGATCAGAGTCCACCTGCTGAGATGTAATTCAATTTCAACAAAAGAAAAAATTTACGTATGGTTTTTCAAATATATTTTAAATATCTTGCTAAACAAAAGAGAGTCTAGTATGACTAGAGCTCATCTGACGACCGATTGTATCCATAGCAACTATATAGTGATCCGATCCTACAGCTACAATATTATATATTTATACAGACGCACATAACTGTATCGACTCGCCTAATGATGCTGATCATGTATAATTTATTACTTAGCCAAAAATGTATAAAATTCGTTGCAAGGGTATAAAAATCGGAATCGCTCACAGCAACAACCCTGAATATCGAAGCTGAGCTGAGTTATGTGCTTTGTATTGACATTGAAAAATACGCACACGGACAGCAAATGGCTGTGCTTTTTAGGGGTATACATTTGATTTTGTTCTTTACTAGCAGGCAATACTCATTGTTAACCGGTAAAGAAATGTTTGCAAATATCAAAATTATACGTATATGTTTTAAGAAAATAAATAAGTTTTGTGCAATTATAAAAGCTCGAAAAATTAAACAAAAGTTAAACAAGAAAAACAATTATGATTTAACGAATTCTCAATAAAAACAAATATTAGGCCAATACTTTAATACAAATTAATAATCAAAATAAATATTAAACACTTTAATCTTAATTACAAGTAAGATTGATCTAGTCGAGAGAGTTCGACTGGGAGACGAACACAGCTGTTAAATATATTTAATCGATTAAAACACAGGTTTCCAAATTTCTTTTTAAAATTTGCAAAATGTTTTATCTTCTTCAAGGATAAAAAAAATAAGAAAATGAAGGCAAGCACATTTTTTCACAATCCAGTACTTTGGGTTTTTATACGATCTTGATGAAATTGTTACAGATACATCAAGGTATATTATGAAAGGCCACACATTAAAAAAATCTATATAAATGGAGGAGTTATCGATCAAATAAAACTGAATTGATCTAGTATAAGAGAATTTATATTCTAAAGTAACATAAATTAGGTAGTCATTTCAGCAGCACAGAAGGGCCAGAAGTGCTATCGGAATTAAAAATAGCTTAACATATTTCTACGTCAGAAATTTGTCAACTTTCAAACAAAGGTTTTGAACTGAAAAAGTGAACTTAACTTTCTTTACATCTACATTTAAATATTCATATATTCAAGAAAGAAGCACTCCAAAGATTTCATACCCTTGTTGGAGTTTATCTGCCAACATCTAAATTGTAGTCCGGAGTACGAATTATTATTTTTTTTGTTATTTATTTTTTATAGTTTTTGAAAATAAAGTAGACTTCAAACAAATTTTATGTAGATATATTCTATTTTTATACCGGCTTTGAAGTCACTATGCAACATTTGTATCAAAAAGATTGACATGTATGTATACGCCTATCTCGACCCTTCAACTTAAATCTTTCGATCAATTGTTTCAATGCTAGCTGTATGTTATAGTGGTCCGATCCGGTCGGGCGTCAAGCCCTCAGCTACAAATTGAAATAGATGGATATATGCCAAGATTCATTATCATGATAATGATGGAGTCTAAATCATGTAACAAAAAAATTGATGTCAACTTTTGATGCTGAAGAATATTCTATATGGGATACCATATGGGGTATTCAATGCTTTACACACAAAGAGTATAAAAACTGAATCGTATATTCATTTGGGAGTATGATGATATCTGAATTAGTTTTTTTTTCCAACGAATACCATATAATTACAATAACATCTTGGAAAACCAGAAAAATAAATTCGAATAAAATGAAAATTTTTTTGCAAAAGCACACTCTGTAAAGCTATCGGAGCTATATGATTCACTAGACTGATGTTAATAGTTTGTTGCCAAATTTTAGGAGTACATTAGCAGTCTTTAAATGCATATTCGACCGATTGCTGATACAACCTTGTGATATTATTGTCAAAGCCCAGTTTTTACGTAACCAGACCGACGGACTCTGCTATTAATACTAGACACGAATGCATCGACGTTAAGGAGTGACAGATTTCTCCTACAATGCGATTTTCTGTATAATAACTCCGTACGCTAAATTATAATTTATTCCTTGCAGCTACATGTGGAATTGAGTAGACATATGTTTTATGATTTTTGGAGAATTTTCAAAGTGATCCTTATTATTACAAAAATGTACAAACGTTGAAGCAGTTTTGCATTTAGTTGCCACCGGAATTCTTAAAATATGTTCCTTTTCAAATTAAATTTTAAACAATCAATTTTTTTTTAATTTTTGTTTGATTTTTATTTAATAATAATAATAACCATTTGATTACGTAAGTGGCTAAAATCTTTAAAATAATTTTGAAAATAAGATATTTCATCACTTACGAAATTTTCTTTAAAATTATAGTCTTGACAGTCTGATACAGAATTTAATAAAACCGATATATTGTCAAATAACACTCAAAGCTGGTGGTTTTGTTTTTTGTATCTTTTATCTTGTATCTTCGTTCGATGGTTCCAATGTTTTGTTTTGTATTCTTTATCTTGTATCATCGCTCGATAGTTCCTATGTCAGAAATCCTATGTCGTATTCAGCAGGCAGGGGATGGTCGGTGCGTGTGTTCAATCTTTGAAGAACTGTATTCCCTAAGTATCAATAAGAATTCTCTATTCGACTACGAAAGCACACACGTCTTTACCTGTCATATGCCGTACACATCTTATTAAATATAAAATATATGGCTTTGATATCTTCCTTAAAGAGAAAATATAATTACACAACGCTATTTTCATTTAAGTTTTCTTACGAAAATAGCGATTTACGCTTGTGTATATAACTGTTAAGTTTTTATTTTGAATTTGATTAAATTTAATTTAATTCATATTTTCCAAGGTGTTACAAAGATGGCATTTGTTGTTGTCGGTTATCGATATTAGAAGAGACAGACAGTCGAAATTTTTAAATTTACTTATTACATAAATTATTACATTTATACCCTTTGTATATATTTTATAGGGCATACAAACAAAAGATTTTCTTGAATTTTATTTGTATAATTTGACGCCTCTATGTATTATACGCATCGTGCTCCCAGTCGAGCTCTTTCGACAACAACACTACTATTTATTTTAACTATTCAGCTGACCTTAATTATTAAAGTTATTTCGCAGTTTATTTTAACTGTAGATACATTTATGGCTTAACCAACTATTCATATATACAACAAAAAACACAAAAGAACAAAGATACCCGAGTTATTAGAAAAAAAATACAATGTTACAACGTTTATGTTTTTATTCGTAAATAACACTTTATTACATAACCAATATTATTACTTGATAATTACAAGTACTCTTTGAAAAAAAAGTACAATTAAAAAGTTCTGTTAAAAGACGCCAAATATCCAAACCTCTCATTGTGATAAGTCAGGCTTTTAATTGCCATAATGTTCACTTCTTTTTGTTTCGCTTCTTCTTTTTGTCTAATCCACTACCTTTTTTTTTTGTTATACAAACGCGACAGAACCAATCCTCATTGTCGTTGGGAGCCACATGTATGCCCACACAAGTCCTAAATCATGAGATCATTATCATTTATTATAATCAGTACTGAAAATTAGGCACAGACTTACCAATGATACCATGCATCACAGCCATCGCAACCGATCATTGCCGAGCCGTCGTCAACTTTGCCACACGCCGGACAAATCCAGATGCGATAGCCCTCGGCATCAACATATGAAGAGGGTCTATTTAATTCGGGAGTTGTGGGCAATAATTGTGCTCCTTCGGAGGATGCCACAGTTGGTGTCGATACTGCTGACATTTTTGGCATCTGCTTTGATGGTTGGTGCATCAGTTGTTGTGGCAGCAAAACCGAACTGGCCGATAATGTGGCAGAAGCAGCGCTACCAGAATTGGGTATCCAGTTACTTGAATGGACATTCAATCCAGCTGACTGCATACCTATAATCGACATTGGCATTGGCTGCGTATTACTAATAGGTGCGAAAACGGAAGGGGAGCATGGCGCCGCGGCTGATAAGTTCATTGTTATCGTTTCACCTAGAAGCAAGAGAATGGTTAACGAATGAACACATCAAGTACCATTAGGTATAGGATTTAGAGATCATACATTGTTTGGGCTTTGGGGGTCCGGTAACAAGTGGTGAAAATCGAGCTAATTCGGGGGATTGTTCCTTTTTAGTCTGGGTCGTCGGTGTCTGAATTGTCGTCGTAGGTTCTGTTTTTATTGCTGTATGATCATGATCGCCTTCAAATGGGGTAGCTGTGGGTGTTGACTTTCCACTGAGCTTAAGCGTTAGTTTCGGCACCTGATTGGGTGAAAGATCTAGCTTGGGCGATACTATCAGGTGCGGCATTTGTGCCTGCGACTTATTTGCCGAAATATAGTCTGCAGCAACTCCGACTTCGATGGAAACGGGAGGAAGATTTTTTGCTTGATCTGTGCTGCCAATTAGATTTTCTGGAAAAATATGTAACCCGTCTGGTGTCACCTGCAAATTGAACATTTGTAAAATAAGTAAATCGTCAAAAACGGTGCACAAATATATATTAAATATATAGGTCATAAATTTAATATTACTTTCTTTGCACAAGCATTAAAGAATTCCTAAAATGCATATTGCTCTTGACGCTGCAACCCACACATGAATTTAAGATCTCTTTAAGGACTTCTGTTTCTCAACTCATGATATACTTCTATGGATTATGAAAATACAAATTTATAGAGTCTCGGAAAACGGATTAAATTCTTCTTATTATTACTACAAGTAATATGCGAATAGTAAAATTAACCTATACTCCAAGGTATTATATTCACTAGGTGAAATGAACCCATATTCCAATCCATTACAGTCTCCAGCTTATTTCTGCATACGGACAGGAATATATGTAGATCTTTTGGGTTCGGAGATGTTCTCTTCTGTCCGTTACTTTATATTTGATTTATGCAAGGCACACCGATTTTGAATGCTTACCTGTTTTTCTTTTTTCTTATCCTTTTTGGGCTTTTTATCTTGGCTTTTGATTTTCTCAATATTGAGTAGATGCTTTTCTTCACTTTTCTCCTTGCTTCTCGTCTTATCCTTTTTGTCCTTTTTCTTTTTGATTTTGCCATCCTTGGGCTTTTTAATCTTCTTATGCAGCTTGTGCAGCTTTAATTCACTGATCTGCATATTGTTTGTGGGTGTTATCGTGATATCATCATAATTCACAGAACCAACAAAATTACTCATAAAACTCTGATCTTCAGCGTGAGGAGCCGCACTGCTCGGCATGGAACCAGATGTGGCACCTGCCGTCAGACTTGTGGCTGGAACAGTGAGTGATGAGTATGCCAAGCCACTATCGACGCGTGACAAGGGAATCAGATCAGCACCGCCCGCAAGGCTAAATTTGTCACTGCTCATGAAATTAATGTTAAACGGTGAAGTGTGTGTGGTGTGCGGGTGTGTGTTTGGATGTGTCTGTGACTGTGAGTGTGGTGATCCAGCAGCTAGTGCCAAAACTTTGCTATCAGTTTGATTCAATTTTGTGGCACCTGCTTTGGCATCTTTCTTAAATTGCTTCGAGTCCGAAATGGGCGAATTTATCATTTGATTGGCATTTAGCAAGGATGAATGTGCACTTTCATTTAGTTGTCGTAATCCGGAATTCGATATATTTGAGGGTTGAATCAGATTTGACTTTAGGCCATGTGCATATGGAAACGCGCCGATTTGTTTGTTGTTTTTCGATTTTGACTTAGATTCGTCGTCATCGTTGGAATCATCCGACACCTCAATGGGATCACCCAAATTTCCAGTAGCAGCTGGCGTGGGTTTGATCGTTTTCGTAGATCTTGAACCCTGGTTAGTGGTGGATACATCATCAATGCCCGAAAGTCCAACTCCCTGACCGGTCAACGGTATAAAACCCGAAATGGGTGATTGGTGTTCAGTGTCTTTGCCACTGCATTCATTGCTCGGCTTTGGATCAAACGCAAACCGTTCCGGTGACCTGATTTTGTTGCTATCAATTAGCGCATTAGGTAACTTCATAGAGTCTGGCACCAAGGGAGTCACATTGCAATAACTTCGTTCAAAATGTGCATCGCCATGAGGCAAGAGACCATAGAGTATGGACTTATCTGCGTTGAAAGAAATATTTTATTAAATTGAAAATACTCAAAATTTAATACTCATTTTACTTACCGTCTTTCTCAATATTCTGTGCTTTGTGACCGATGTTCGCATTCGGAAAGGACATGAATGTCTGCGGCATAATAATATTGGGGCCCGTCACTTTTTTGCTGAATCCGGCTAAAGCGGTTGACGTAAAAATAGCTGGACCCGAAGGTATGAGGCCGGGACGTGGCGGGAAATGCAGTAACGGCAGCATTGGCATCATATTTGGCTGATTACCATACAATGTACTGGACTTGGGCAGATTTGATGGCGCCGAGCCTGTCACATACCCGAGAGCTTGATTCGTTATAGCATCTGACAAGTCAGCAGATGAAATGTGCACTTTTCCAGGCTTTGCTTGTAGCGATGTATTTTTAGAGTTTTTGTCGGACTCTATGAAGGTAAGTTTCTTGTTGAAATCTCCCATATTTGTGAGTTGAACACTGTCTTCGTGATCCAGTTGATATTTGGATTTACACTTTTTTCGTTCCTTTTTCTCCTTGGTTTTGTGCAACTTCTCAGTGATTGTCCCGTTGCCAGCTTCGCCAGCTGTAGTTATATCACCTATAAAGCCAACATTATCCGTAAAATGAGAGCCAGCCTTAAATTGATCGACGCTGCTTAAATTAAGTGGTTCCATCGGCAATGGTATATTTGGAAATATCGTTGGATTTTTATTCAGAGGTGTTTCCGGAGTATAGCTAAAAACTGGATTTAATTTTGTCGATTTAATTTTCTTTGGCGATTGCTGGATTAAAGTTGATGTTGCTGTGATGCTAGTCGCTGCATGAAATCTAACTTGATTTTTACCACCTGGTTTGCGACCGCGTTTCTTCGGCTTGTTCACGTCAGGGGCCAACAGATTGTCAGCTGTTGCTGTTGGAGTCGGATCTGAGAGACCGCCGAAGGAATCGTATGTGGAGATATTACTCATGGACATGCTGAAATTATGCTGTACACTTTCAGTGGCACTCAAGGCCGGCGCCGGTGTTATTGTTGTGCCCGATGGCAGATTAATCAGTGGCGAACCATTGCCGGCATTCTCGAACATTGTTTTGGCTATGTTCAATGGATTTAGCGCTTTCTGCTTGGAGATTTTCTTGAATATATTTAATTTGTTGCGATCGGGTTCACTGGCAAGTTTGATTTCGTCGGAAAGAGTATTTGGATTCGTCACAGCGCCCGCATTCGAAATATCTTTGATGGGCACCACAAAATCGGTTGGAAACGTATCTTTATTTTCCACGTTCAGCGTGGAGCCAAAACCACCAACTAAACCGAGCATATTCTCGGCCATATTGGTGGGTACCATGGGTTGTGGTTGCGGTTGCGTCGCTAAAGGCACAAAATCTGGAGCCGAATCTCTACTGCCCACAGAAACCAAAGGGATTGGGACATTGGGAAAAACTCCTGGCAGATTGAATACCTGTTGCAGTTGTTGGCGCTGCTGTTTTTGGTTTTTTAATTGCTTTTGGCGTTGCTTTGTTTGTTTTTTTAACAGTTTTTCGAGTTGAAGCCGCTCCGCAGATCCGTCCGGCAGCGCTGACAACATGCCACGATTTAGATTTTTAATAGATTTCTGTAGATTGTTGCCACCTTCCATTTGATTCTTGGACAATTTCTGATAGATTTTCAAGGCTTTGCGGTGCGCTTTCTCCTGTGCCTTATTGGTAGTTAGTTCTCTGGCTGGGTCAATTGCCTGAGCACCCAATAATTTTTTCTTTTTGCTCTTCTTGGCTGTCTTTGTGTTTGCTGGTGGCACAACTGGAATGGATGTTGCACCAGCTCCCAAAACCATATTAACCTCACTCCTCTCGCTAGCTGTGGCTGCTTGTTGGCATTGGGCAACTCCTTGCTCTGCCGTAGGTGAAATCGTTTCCGAAAAAGTAATTCTTTTTGCCATTGATACGTCGATGGTTTCATTGAAAACATTTTTGGGCTCATTGGGTGTTTTAGGTGGCGGTGACAAAGGTGGTGCATCCAGACCCTTTAACTTGTCTAAAAAATATGTAGATTTAAGTACGCATAAGTAGCAAGAAGTAAATGCAAGAATCATTGTGGAATAATATTAAGCATCAACCAATCAGGTAAAGGTGGATATCGTAAGTTTATTCATTTCAAAGATTAGTCTTTAGATGTAAATGGTTATTGGTAAAATAATTAATTAAAAAGCAAACTAGACTTGAAGAATATACAGACGAGTAACATCAAGTAGCACAAACCCGAAGGAAACTGCTCATTCTTCTAATAATCGTATTTCCAAACATGTTTACAATTCTGATATTGAACTGCATAGAGAGATTCAAGTCAAGAAATTCCCTCTCCACAGAGACTGTACCAGACATATCATGGATTCGCCCGAGTACAACTTGTAATAATGTCTCAATGTCTCATTTAGTAAAAACAGAATACTAATATCTTCTGGCTATAGTACTGAAAATATATTCAAACTTCAGATACATAAATCACAGTTCAATTTTTTTTACCGTTTCAGTTAAGTGAGGCAGAATTTAAATTTTTCCAAATGGCATATACGACATATAGACAAGTACATTTTACGGTCTCCCCTATTCGAAAAAGATGTTGCAACAACAAAAAGTGGTACAGCTGCCTTAGAATATGAAGAATATGATGCATTGAATATTATGAAAAAAAAAAGACAATAACTTGTAAATTAAAATGGATACAATATATCAACTTGTAAATATAGCAATATTATTTCTTATTGCAAATCAGAAGCATCTGGCTTAGTATAGCATACAATCAAATTGTTTGAAACATTTCGTGTTTAAAAGCCCATCTTGAGCTGGACAGTGAAATAGGTCCGAGTTGCATAAAATTGAGAAAACATTAATATTCTATTGACTTTGTTTATAAAAGGAAAGTTATAATAATATATTAATTATAATAAAGGCTTGAATAATATTTAATGGGCCAAGGACTTCACCACAGGGCTAAGGAGAGAAGATAGGCCGTAAGCTCCAAGGTCAGATTGGAAACTAGTACTACTCTTCGAGACACACTTTTCTAGAAGTACACCGCTGCAGGAAGAGGCTATCGAAAGGGAAAGTAGACTCAGGCCGTCAACTGACGACTGGGCATGCGCCAAGTCGACAGTCACAATAGAGAGACTTTATCAGCTTCGACGTACTTTGAGTGCGGCAATTGATAATAAGGAAGTAGCACTGTGCGCCTTCTTAGATATAGAAGGTGCCTTTGATAACACATCACACGATGCAATCAATGCTACCCTCGAGAGAAGATGCCTGGACCATACTACCAGTAGATGGATACTCGCACTGCTACGGTCCAAACAAGCCATGGCATCATTACATGATAGCACTGTAACAGTCCTAACCACCAAAGGCTGTCCCCAAGGAGGAGTGCTGTCTCCGCTACTCTGGAGTCTGTTAGTAGACGAACTACTAAACAGACTTGCTAACACTGGTATTCAATGTCAAGGTTATGCCGATGACATTGTTATCATAGCGCGAGGCAAATTTTAAGAATCACTCTGTGACATAATCCAGTCAGGGCTAAGGATACCGTATGACTGGTGTATGGAGGTTGGACACATCCTAAACCCTACGAAAACAGTCATTCTCCCCTTTACCAGACGACATAAGTTACAGAGGATGAGACAAATATGGCTCTCAGGGACCCTACTGGAAACGAGTAGGAAGGTTAAATACCTGGGAGTCACATTTGACAGCAGGCTTAACTTTGGCACCCATGTGCAACACACGAGATTAAAGTGCTCCAGGGCGCTTTATACATGTCGTAGTATTGCCGCCAAATCATGGGGTACATCACCAAAGATATTAAGATGCCTGTACCTAATGGTAGTAAGACCCATGCTAACATATGGTGTAGTAGCATGGGGATCAGAGCGCGGCTGATCACCGTGAAGCAGCAACTACAAAGATTGTAAAGAATGTCCTGCGTATGTATGACAGGAGCTATGCGCACCTGCCCAACAATGGCCCTTGAAGCCTTAATGGTGCTCACACCACTCCACCATATCATAAGGCTCAAGCAGAAAGCCACGCTTCTAAGGATATCGGCAGAAGGAGTTGGGGGCAACCATATCCTAAGCCATAAAGATGCCCAACTCCTTTCAAACGAACTGCCCCTGCTGATGCAACCTAGGGACGAAATGGTAGCCGAATACATATTCGAGCAAAATTTCAAAGTTCGTATGAGTAGTAAAAGTGAATGGACAACTCTGGATGAAGTCCATCCCATGAAACCGATGGATTACTCACGAATCAGGGCACGGGTCTTGGAGTGGCGAGTCCTCGGGTATTCTACCATGATTCCCTGGGAACGCACACCAGCATATTTCAGGCTGAGGTGTGTGCGATAGGGAGATGTGTGGACTTCAACATAAAACGTAACTATTGGAATACGGATATATCCATCCTATCCGATAGTCAAGCAGCATTGAACGCTATAATGGGGACTAAGATAATATCGAAGGTAGTCCATGAAGTTCGTTCAAAGCTAGACCTACTCGGCACACAACAGGCGCTCCCTACGATGGGTCCCGGGCCACAGGAACATTGCGAGAAACGAGGCGGCTGATAAGCAAGCAAGAATGGGGGCAGGAAGTCCCCTAACAGGACCAGAACTGTATTGTGGCATAGGGAGACACACTATACGACTGCAACTTAGAAACGAGGAGAGACAGAGACGGCAACAGAGCTGGTCAGAGGCAGTAGGACTCCTAGCAGAATGTGTCGTCTTAATTAGAAGATGCAGCATCCTTGGGGCGCATGATTAGAATTGCAAAGACATAGAAGACCTCAACCCAACAAAGATCCTCACGTTCATACGGGAGTGGGGGCTGATGGAAGAGCTATAGGTTCAGAAGGGGGCACAATAAATCAAATAGGTCGCGGTGCAGCTTCCCCCAATAATAATAATAATAATAAAGGTCAGATTAATAATAATTTCTTGTCTGCACAACTATTTAAATGCTCAGGTGTGCATATAAGATATATGATACATTCCACAGACGGTCAAGAATTGTACTATTTGCTTATATTGCTAACTTGTAGTCTTTTTTAAATAAAAGGATTTATAATATGTGCAGATCAATTAAATTTGGTTGTAAAGCTTCTCTTACCAATAATATCGGGCACGAAGGCTTCTGGTAGTTTTCCCTCGATTGCGGGGGAAATAAAGCCGCCCGTTGTCATAACGACACTACTGATTTCTCGAATCGCATGCCCGTCGTGATCAAAATTATCTCTGGATGAGGAATTCAGCGTCAGTGGTAAATCGCTCTGACTACAACACTTATGCATGCCAATGTCCGTTTTTAAATCCGGCAATAACTTGATTGCTGTTTTGTGGCCCGACTCTGATGTCGATGGTGGAATCTGTTCGTGGTCGCACTTCTCAATTAATCCTGTGGAGATAACTGTAGCAGCTGATTCTGTGGGTAACATTGGCGGCAAATACTCGAATATGTGAACGGGTCTCGTCAGCGTCTCAACACTGCCCGGCTTCAAAAAATTCAAGTTTGAGCTCCTTTTGACAGGGTAGATGGGCACATCCCGCACGAAAGGAATCGGCTCCACATTCCCAATATAGTCTAATAATTCGTTCACATTTATGTTGAGATTGCTTAGGCTCAGAAGTGCATCCTTCAAATTCAGCTCAACCCGGTTTGCTACCAAAAATACAAAGAAGATATATAATTAGTTTCTTGCGTATCACAAAAAAAAGAGCATCTAAGACGATGGTTTATATATATGTATATATTGTAAATGGGTTGTTTTCTTTATAAATTTGGCCGTGTTTTATGGAGTATATGTAATAAAATTTGAATTTCTACCCTTGTATACGGCATTATAATTTTGTCTGAAATTTTGTTCTTCTACGCAGCATTCCTTCAGTTTTGGAAAATTTAAAATTGATTTGACGTGACCAGATCGGACTACTACCATATTTTACAGCTGCCGTCGTACGAAAGTTTGGACTTTTTTATTCTGACTAAGCTCACAAGATATGAGCGTTATTAAGTTAATCACATTTGACAATATTCAGTTTGTTGGATTGAGATAGGCATATACATAAATGTTACCCTTTCAATGTTAATTTATATTACACAGAAAACTACATACATACACACAGAAAAATACATAAATACAAATTAATTAAATTAAATATTAAAAATAAAATTTTATATTTAACTTTATCAAAATAAAAAATATTTATACGATTTCTTCCTGATATATATATATATATATATATATATAACTACAAAAATTGAAAATATTCTGTTCAAACTCAGGGAAAAATTCATGTTTTCTATTTTTTTTTTTTTTTTTTAAGTATTTTATTATTGATTTTTATTTTTTAACGGATTTCAATAACTGAAATTTTTCATAATGACACTTTTTAATGCAAAAATGATTTTGCACGGACAAATTTCAACAGAATATGTTTACCAAAGTCATAGACAAAATGCAGGACAAAAATCAAAATCACTCATTTGGAGAAAAGGGGATTGGAAAATCGGAAACAACCGTTGTCCAATCACTTTCTTGACAGTCCACAGAATGAATAATTATCGTTCTTGAAATTTTAAAATTGTTTTAACGAATCTTGTTATATTTTTTAAAAATAGTTTTTAATAGTAGAAAAATAAGAAAACAAATAAAAGTCAATAATAAAATAGTTTTTTGTTTGCAAAATAAATGAGAAAATGTGAATTCTTCCGACTCCAAACACGTTCTCGAAAATGCAATTCGGACAAAACTTTAAATGCCATTCGATTATCTTCGTGTCCAAGATATTCATTGCTAGTTTTTCTTTCAAGTACAACTCAGAGAATTAACATTAAAAACATTTGTGTATGACGTGAAGAAAAAATCGCCCACGCGACCATCTGTAGTCGCAATCTCCAGACATACATTATGTATAAGTGTGGATGCTTTTACTAAGAGAAGTGGTGAACTCAGAGAGACAGCTAATAGCGGAATGGGCGAGGGGGGTAAATTGTGATAGATAAAAATAATATACATATATATGAATGTATTTACCGTGCTCGGCTTGGCTGTGCAAATCGCGGGCGAGTTCTTGGATAAAGCGTTGCAGAATGTCCTCCAGCAGTTCCAATGGTGCACTCTGGGTGCTGCTATATCCAATGGTTTGAGCAATTTGGGCTATAACAACACCCAACATATCTGAAGTATATTTTTCTGCCATCATCCACGAGTTTGTTTTCATTGTATATTTTTTGTGTTAATGCCTACGTGTTGAGTAACGCCAATTGCAACAAAGTAAAACAATTGTCTTACCTCCACAAATTATCGGTCGGCAATCGGTAACTAATACAGATATTCCCTTATAATTTTGCAACGCAACCCTGCAAGCCTTAAAAGTTTATTTTTTGGTTTACGGACTCAATTTAAGACTATGAGCAGTAGTGTTGGATTATTTTTATTTTTTTCAGTCAATAATTACAACGAGAGTAGAACCTATTTTAGTGGTATTGAAGAAAATAGTCCTTAGATTTTTCTTTTGAGATTTGTTGCCAATTTAGCAACACAGAGAAAATATGGCAAAAATGTAAAGAATACTCATGTAACATGAATATGGCATTAAATATCATAAAACATATGCATAATAAGAATCGCTGATTGATTATTTAGCTCAGTAAAGAGCAATGAAAGAATGAAATAAAGACCGAAGCAGCTTAAAGTTGACAACTATATGATTATAGTTTCATAAAATATTTAAAAAAAATTAAATGATTTATAATATTGTATAGCTTTTATAAATAATTAGTTTTTGGATAGCTTGTGAATAACACGCATCTGACAGAAGAGTGTGACCTTATAAATACCAAAATTCGCTATCTGAGTAAATAGGCAATTGGCATAGAGCGACATCTGGCGGGACGCAGGGGAATTAAAAAAAAATTAAACTCTACATAAAAAATTATTACGGATTAAATAAAATGATTAAAAATAAATCCTAAGCTAATAAAGATTTTCAATTGTTATTGAACAAACAATAAATGAAAACGAGTTTTTAGATAATTGGATGAACTATAAAAATGAAAAAAGTAGATAATAAGAATAATAAGAATAGGAAGACAACAATGAGCAATGAAATTAGTAAAAAATAAAATTCCACGTTTAATAACTTATAATTTTATTTAGATATACTTATGATAATAGTTAAGACAACAGATATTTTAGAGCAGCCATTAAAATTTTGTGAACTATATTTTATTCTGATTAGGGAAGAAAAGAAAATTAAAACAATAGGTTATTTTCGCTACCCGATATAATGATATGAATTTGCTGCTATATATTAATAGAATACCTCTCGATAGTACACAGCAAGCAGTTAGAATTAACATTACACTTTATTGAGGTTAATTTGTTCTATTACAATTTTGATAATTGATTATTTACAGTCAAGCGAATAATTCTAATGTGTTATATAATTTATATTCTATTTAAATTTTTTGGACAGAAAAAATTGACCACCAAAAAAAAACAACTTATTTTCAACAGACAAGTTCCGTTTTTTTTTTTAATTGTTAACTAAGTCTCTTATGTAACACACTATAACAAGACGAAAAATATTGATTTAGCTTCTCATAATGAACACTAACCTCAATACAAAAACGATGTTCGATGCCCAAGTAAATATGAGCAAACTTTGACTGAAGTATTTTTTTTTTTTTTTTTTGTGGTATGTGCAAAAGTTTGTCGTGAACAAAACAGAGGATACATTAAATAATTAGTGTGTGTTTTTGCAAATCAACTATCTAACGCTACATTCGAATACGCCAAAGCATTGTATTCTTGGTGTTTTTTATTTTATTTTTTTATATGGCATTACAAATGTACAATAATTCATATATATACTCAGCAAACATTGTGTGCCGAATGTGAACCCAGCATTTGTATATTATATTGTATCGAGAGAGATTATGCAAAATATTGTCCAAAATGACACCGAGATTCGTGATTGGGTACAGAAAATTAATAATAAAGTTCAGCACAGAGCAAGGCTTGGCGATTGAAAACATTCAAATACGCAAGCTTTTGTTGAATATGCCCATTCGATAATTTCATCATTAATTAATTAATATAAATACGAGAAATAAGTTAATTTATATATATGTATTTATATTTCGGTCCATTACCATGCATTGAGACTATTGCTTTCCATATTTTTTTTTTGTTTTTTATAAGCTTTTCAATTATTCTAAATTATGCCGGTAGCGACGAAGGCGTGCACTATTTTCTATCTTGGGATCACCCGGTGGCGGCGAAATATCATTTCGCAATGAAGGCTCAAGTGCATTTTGATTCCCTGCTGTATTATTTGTGTCCTCGTTTCGCGTTGCTGACAGTTGTTGAAGTTGAACTGCTGTCGAGGGATTAATTGCTGCTGCCTTACACAAACGACTGCCAAAGCCAATATTGTTCTCAACCAATTCCTTATCGCCATTATCGCTAATCTCTGCCTTAGATTGATCATCGAAATTTCCCAGCATTGTTAAAGGAATTCCACGAGTTCTGTAATTATCACAAATTAGTATTATTTTGCAGTAATGAGCAAACAGCTTACAACTTACCTATTGGAGATACGAGCTTGTGGTCGTTGAAATCTTAGATTTAATTGTGTGGGATCAGTTACATACTTTCCTTCCGAAGACTCACGACGACGTCGCAAACCTATAATATAGACAGAGCTATTTAGATAGAGATATTTAACTTAAAATTCAAAAACAAGGAAATGCAAATACTTTTAACTAACCCATAAGGAACCGAAAAAACCGAAATCGGAACCTAAATTAAAAATTGTATTTTTTCAAAACCAAACCCAAACAGGAACTGAAATTTTTTGTCACAAAAAATACCGAGAGATCAGAGAAAACTTATATTTGAAATAATTTCTAGATTGACTTGGAATCAGCACCAAATTCGGAAGCTAAAATTCGTCCCGGTTTGACGCCCTGGTTAAAAGTTATTTTTAATGATGTGTGTTTTGATTAAGGGCATTTGCGAATTCGGATTAATAATAAGAAGTAAGATAGTTGTATGTATTACGGGGATCTGCATTCTTTCGTGTTTTACACACTTATTTCCTCGTTTTTATGCAATAAAGGTTACATAATAAAAAATAAAATAATTAAAAGTATTTTTTTTTTTTACAATTTGAACAATTTCCATGGTTAAAAAGTATATTGATCTAAACACTCACCATAACTTTAGCAAAAAACTGGTAAAGCATAAACCACAAATTTGTTGAAAGAAAGATTTCGAAGAAAAATTCTTTTTGAATTATATAGACGCCGTTTTTTTCATATACTCAATAGAGATTAAAGATTTTTTAAGATAATATTGCAGACTGACCCTAGCTCAAAAATTATGAAGTGCCTCATTAAAGTTATTTTTAATGATGTGTGATTTTAAGGATATTCACGAATTCAGATTAATGGGGACGGACATACCTGGTGTTAAATCCATGATATTGGGGGAATTTTGAAGTGCATGGTGACTTCGGGTTGGGCTATTCATTGTATCTAAAAGGGGTGTCGGCATCTGCAGAGCCTGAACAACAATTTGGGAAGGCCCTGCTTGGCCAGCTTGCCCAGACTGCCCAGTTGCTGAAGTCGACATCGGGTTGTTATCCACTCCCGCCCACGAAGCACACTTCGATTGACGCACATTGTAAGTGAGCACGGGTATCTTGCTTGGTGCACACAATGATAGATCAGATCCACCTCCGTCAGTTACATCAACTCCCACTCGACTCGTGATGTTTTGTGGATTTGAATCATCATTGGACTTAATATGTGTGTGCGGGGAAACAATCGGGCTCTCACCATTGCTGCCATTGTTCAATTTGACAGACTGAACTCGGCATGAGCTGAACTCGTTGCCGGGTGCAGTCAACTCTTTGGCTAAAGGTGTATTATAATTGGCCGTTGTATTTGTTAAGGAAGATATATTTGTCCCAATTTCTATGTCATCACAGTTAACTGACTTCTTATCATTCGACTCTGAAGCTTGCCTATCACCAGATGTTTCATTGTTGGAAAGTTTGCATGTGTTCTTTGCTATTTTACTACTTGTGGCTGCCAGTGCATCATAGTAAACCGACTCGTCCATGTGCGAGTTTTCTGAAAGAAAAAAATAAATAATAAGAATAATAATTCATTCGAGTACTCTATAATGATTACAGTCGACTTTATAAAGTAATCAATTCAGAGTCCTATATTTCTCTCACTAAGAACTACATGCCTAACATTATTTTACTAATCATACTATAGGGGTTTTTGTGGGCCATTTTAAATTTAAGTCCCTTCAGAAATCTTGTAAATATTTAATATTAAATATTAGATTTTATTCTTAGACTAATGTAATTTATGCAAAGAAATGTTAACAAATTTAAATTTAAATACCACAGAAATCATTTTACATTTACAATTTATTTCTAATTTAATTTATATTCTACTTTTCGTATTTTTTTCGAATGATCTTACTCGTCATTAAATAAATAATTAAATTAAGTATTTAATAAATATATATGTAGGACTGAATATGTCCCGTTTATTAGTAGTATAATAGCTATAAGTAGATTAATAGATTTCCTACGCAAAGTGCGACTTTATAAGACTACGACTTACTTCCACAATGCACCGACAACTTCACAACTTTTGGTACTAGGGACTTTGAAGACTTCTTACTAACTGTAAAACTCATTTGCTCTGCTGTTCTTCGTTTGAGTTCTTATCTTCTACAACTGCTCGATTATTAAGTCGCAAAGCCTTTACATTATACCACTTGAAGAGTGTCGAATTGCAAGGTCAGCAAAATGCGACTATAAATATTTATTTTGCGTCCCTATGATTTGATCATTAAAGTGTTTACCCTTGAAATACGGCGATATTCCACTCTTACTCCTCTTTCAATATATATATATATATATCTTCTATCTGGCAACAAATATTGCACTATTTTACATTATTATACCCCTCCCCCAGAAGTCTTGCAAATATTTACTTATTTTTTAATTAATTTAAATTTAAATATTAAACTTAATTTTTTCTATCTTTTTATTTTTCTGTGTAGACTGATCGTAACATCATCACTTAATAAATAAATGCATAATTAAATATTTATTTTTTAATTTACCTTTAGAAATTACACGAATCTCAAGTCGCCCACTAACACAACCGTCATTCGGCTGCATTTCCGCATCGACGAAATTTGCAACCTTGTTTCCTGATTGATGAGATAGCAATTCTGGTGTTATTGCATCTGAAGATTGCTGCAAGTTGCTGCGCTGACAGAATGTAGTCTTAACGCACCAGGGCACAACGGCTGCGGCAGCATTATCCGGCGGATTCGCTTTCGCATCCTCTCGCTTCTGTGGGGGCTTATCATCAAAGATATCGATGAGACACACATTGGGCAGACTATTGCGATGCTTGTACATGGCCTGACTTTCGTTTGAATGGCTCGAAGGGATGTCTCCAGGAGCCGCAGCAGCCGCAGCAGCTTGAGAAGGATTTCGCAACGGCACTGCTGATATTATGGCTGTCGCCGTCGCCTTTTGATTAGATATTGGCGCGATTTCGGAATAAGATTCGCGCACACAAACGTTTCTCGCGATGTCCATGCGATATACCTTAATCAGGTCACAGGTGATTGGTCACGAGGAATACAAATATTATTGTGCGCTTGTTACTATTAAATCGATTTTTTTATATATGAGCTACATATAAATGAGCTGTATGCCTAATATATGCTACGGCAGAATGACGGGACTTATTTTAAATTAATCGCTTAATCGCTTAATTGAAATGCTTAAAATGTCCCGTAGTTATAAGTTTAAAGTTGTTGCGAGCACGAGTACTACACATTTTAATACGTAAATGAACTGAATAAAGAAATCTTTAAAAAAAATAGTAAAAACCATGCAAGTTATTTTATACACAAATATTGAGCTTTAGGAATTATAAATGCATGGATATACAGCTTTGTTAAACACACTCTTAGATGACAAAATTAAAGTGGTTATAAGTGAAATAGAATAATTTCTTAAATATACTTACAGTGTCATCAAAGGCTGCTTGCTGAACAGCAGGTGGCTCTAAGTCTTTACGTAATACATTACCCATTGCCGGTTCGGACCAGCAGTGCGGTATGGACATTTGTAAGGTCTCATAATTCTCGATTCCAGCTATATTAAGCGTATATCTATTGGCAATTGGAAAATTATTATACACTCATTTATTCTATGCACGTCAATATAGAACTTAAGTTAGTTAGAAGATGGTGGTTGTGTGTGGGTGTTGTAAAAAATTTAAATTATATTATAATGGAGATATCTGTAAAAGTTTTTTCGGTATTTAAATTTTGTCTTTCTTTATATAAAATATTATTATATTATTTATTGACTACTTTCTGCGCCTTTGTAAATATGTTGAATTGTTAATTTTTTCGACTCAATGAAATAAATAATGAATCAAAAGCAAACCTCTTTGTTTTATTATTTATAGGGGTCCGTTTAAAAATATCTTAATGATTTGTCATAAACTTACAACTAATTAAAATAATAATATATATAAAAAAAACCTTGTAAGTTATTTTTTGCATAATTGTTAATTTTTTGGAACGCTTTTTAAGACATTATTTTTTAATAATTACCGGTTTCTATTAAGAAGATTTATCATAAAATAAATCCAAACTTACTAAATTATAAATTATATATAATACAGATGGAATTTCAGATCACTAATTAATATTCAATTTAATATCAATTCAATATTTTCGAAAGTTGGTATTACCTGTTTTACTAGCCCTTTGATACCGATGCTATCTTAGTATATTGGCTTTGTGCAATGTCCGTCACGCTGTCTGACTGCCTGAACGCAACTTTTTTCGACACCGTTAGAGATAGGAGACTTGAAAGTTGGAACATACTGGTCTGTACCCGCGTCAGTCCACTACAAGGCTAGGAAATCGATACAATCGATAATCGCAAATCGATAAGGGCACATATCTCTCACAATTTTAAGGCTACACCCACCTCTGCCGCCCCAAGCCCCGTCCCTAAACATTTAACATATCTATATCTTCCCTAGTATTTGAATTAGAGCCATCAAATTTGGTATATTACTGGTAGCCGCATTTAAGAACACACCTGCATCCCATAATCCCATTAGGAAAGTGTAAATCGGTAAAGTCGCATATCTCCTACAATTTTAAAAATAGAGTTACCAAACGTGCAAAGTAGCTTGCAGGTAACCTCCTTCAAAGCTAGGCATATACATTTTCAGACTACGCCCACACCACCGCTACTTTGGCCCTACAAATCTAAAATCCGCATATCTTTAACAATTTGTAAGCTGGAGTCACCAAATTTTGAACGTATGTTACTGGTAACTCCTCTAAGAGATCGATAAAATTGGATGGCCACGCCCACTCTGCCTCCACCTATACACCTATTACTGTAAATTGATGAAACCACATATCTCACACAATTTGAAAGCTAGAGTCAGCAAATTTAAAAGGTAAATTGCTAGTGACACCCTTCAAAAATCCAGAAACAAATTTTAAACCACGCCGACTGCCGCCCCCAAAAACGATGAAGCCGATTTCTCCCGCAGCTTATGAGTTATAGTTAGCAAACTTGACAGGTAGATTACTTAGATGGTCCACCAAAATTTTTTTTTCCAAAAGCCCATATCTTCCATAATTTACAGTTACACAGTTACTACAGTTACCAAACTTGGATGGAAGGTTACTAGCAAAATCTTCCAACATTTTTTTCGGCCACGTCCAGTCCCGCCACCAAAATTCACGATAGATTACTATAAATCTCCTTCAAAGATTGGTATTTCCTGTCTACACGCACCCTTTTTCTTGCTACCTGTTATCAGCTGGTACTAATTGTGGAACCAAAGTGCAGTTGCTTACACCTGACTGCAACGTTCTCTCGCATTTAAGTGTTTAAGATAAAAACATAGAACCACTTACACAAATAATTATTTTCTAGAGGGGGTGTCGCTGTTTTTGTATCAGTTATTCTCTGCATTTGGGGATATGTGCATTTACTGTTGTTAATATTGCTGCACTTACCTCTTAACTTTCTCCTTCCGAAATGGTTCTGCTCTTGATATGCAGCTACCGGTAACAGCTAAGTTAGAGGTTCTCCGTAATAACGGCAATGAGACATCCGCTTTAGTAAACTGATCCAAATTTGGTTGTGACTGTGAGGCAAGAGGTTCGAATAATTTACATGTGAATTCTCTTCTGTTTTTTTTTTTGTACATTGTGTATCTGACCACACATTATAAATATATATATGCATATATATATATATTGATGGCATGTATCTAGGTTGGATATAAACACATATATATATACATATGTGTTCTTAGACATGTACTCGCAACTGGGCATGAACTGCTATATATGTTATATATATATATATATATATATATAATAAAAAAAGATGCACATTAAAACAGATGGACATTTTAAGCATTGGTTGATTGATTAGTTAATTCACACCTGACACCTGGCAATAAGTCCCCCTGTCTGCGCTGTTGAATTTCTTATATCGAATTTACCTGCGGCTCCTGCTTCCATTCGTTGTCCGTTGTATCCTCCGAGTCGTCGAACTGGCTCTTCCACTGTGACGCCAGGGTGAGTGCTCCGCCACCCTTTGTTACCTGTTGCAGAGCCGAAACATTCTCATCGTCAATCAATGCGAATTGGGTCACAGAATGATCACCAACACATCCGGCAACGCTGCTCTTAACCGTCATAGTTGTCCCGCCGGGCTGGTTGCCAGCACTGCTCAAACGCTGGGTGCACGTGGCACTTGCACTACCTCCAGTTCCAACTAATGAAGAGGCGGAGGGCCGTAGATTGGTTGATGTTGCCGAGCGGCGATTGGTTGGCGGTATGGTCGTCGTTATGCCAAAGATCTGATCACGCTGACAAATGACAAATTTCGGCGTTGAACTGCCTCCATTGCCACCATTATCCTGATTCTCCTGGTCCAGTGATGAGGAGAGCTCTGCGCTGGTGATCTGGGGTGCGGCCAGCACACGCAGCCGACCATAGGTTGATTTCTGATCAGAGCCCAGATTAATGCTGCTCACTGATCTCTTGTTATCGCCGCCCTTCTCGAAAGCGGCAGCAACCTGATGATTGTGATGGAGTTTAACAGCACCTTCGACGATTTCCATTTTGGGCTCGCCGCACAGGGATCGACTTGCTGCACCCTCAACATTGACATGACCATTGCTCTTCTGGTCCGGGTCATTGTTGCTGGCATTGGTTGTAACCACCACCATATCCATGTGCTCCTTGTCGCCCGTCCCCATCTGAATTTTGGTCACCACTGGCTGCGCATGAGCTGCAATAATTTTACTCTCCGGATACTGCTAATTAGTAATAATCGCTTGATTAATGGTTAATCGATAATCGATTAGATTTAATAGACTTACATAGACTGGTGCCGAATTGTTCTGATTCGTTGTGGTGTATGAACCAGATACGGTCTGGGCCGGACACCGTTTCCCATGGATGACGCCGTGCGTAGATCTTAACGGGGCATTGGAATTGGTGGTGCTAACTTCGTGGTTAGCAATTCCTGTCACCGTCGACGGCTTGATCAATGCACTAGGAAGATTCGCAACAGCTATCGCCGTATTTGACACCAGCACCAGCTGCTGCTGCTGTTGTTGTTGCAACTGTTGCTGTTGCTGCTTTGGTAATGCATTTAAAGTCCCTGAATTCTGCAAGGCGGATTCGGCTGTTGCTTGGGGTGTCATTGTTGCATTGCAATTCTTATCAACCTATAAGAAAAAATATTTGTGTTGGATTTTAAGATACATACACTCAGAAAAAATTCCATTATATTGGTAAATCGCCCCAAAAGGAAAAGCTTGCCCCAAGACCAACAATGCAAAATATATCGGGATTTTTTTAAAAAAAATTTTAATGCTTTCTATTATTCTATGCGAAAAAAAAATTTTAAAAGAAGAACGTTACGGAATTTACTGGCTCTGTTTTTATGTTAGAGTTTGTCTTAGAAGCCGAGCAGCTCAGTAGGAAGTTACTCAACTTCTCGAACTGTGTTTTATTTTTTCAATTTATTTTAATGCTAAAATAAACAACATCTATGAAATTAAATATATATCTCTTAAATTTCAGAAAATTTCACACAGAAACAAAGAAATGTAAGTCCTGGTTTTTAAAAAGCCACAACCATTGTTACTTTTTGATATATTATTCAGGTGGCCAGCCAAAAATAAGACGCAGGCATAGCCTCTTTTGATCTTGAGTCAATAAACTAGGAAGACATTTTTTGCAACTTTATATCTAATGCAATATAAAATATAAAGTTAATGATTTCATCAAAAGATTTTTAAAAATTTAAGGCTCCAAAAAATCAAGAAACCCTTTAACAGGTTTTTGGCTCTTGTATTCAAATTTGAAAGCTTTCTGACCTGAAAATATTTTGGTTTTTGGTTTTTCTACCTTTTCCTTTATATGAAGCGGTTCCGTTGAGGCCATCTGAGCAGTATCAATATCATTTCTCTTTCGTACCTATATTAAGGACGAGAAATCGAAGATCGTGTTGTAGTTGATAAGTTCTCTTTCTTTTAATATACTTTTAACTGGCTGCAGGTCAAATGTTTTGAAGTCACTATTTTATTTTTATACCCTGAACACATTAAAAATGGATCAAAAGGGTATAATGGTTTTGTGCAAATGTATCTTACAGGCAGAAGGAAGCATCTCCGACCCCATAATGTATATGCATATATTCTTGATCAGAGTCAACAGGCGAGTCGTCCGTCCGTCCGTCTGTATGTACACGCAGATCTTAGAGACTATGGAATATAGGTTCTCGTATACCCGGCGCAGATCAAGTTTACTTTATTTTACCGATAACTGCCTCCGTTTTTCGATTATCGATACATTTAAAATTGCGATAGCAAGAAATTGTACAATTTTAAAGACATAATCTTCTAATTAATATATAATATGCATATGCATATTATTTATTAACTGCCCAAATTCCATCAATCGGATAAGAAAGACCCAAGTTATTGCCGAAAATATATTCTCAGACTGATCTCCTTTCTATCAGCAGCCGCAAGTATTTTCTGTATGAATCAATATGCGAGCCTACGTGTGAGAAAGAGATGGCATGATTATCGGAGCGAGCATCAATATGTTTTTGTGTGCATGCTGCAGATCCCCGTTATTCCGTTACGATTGCCTGTACATATGTATGTATCTATGTATATGCACGTGTTTGTTACCAGTCGTCCAGGATCAGTTCGGGCTTGTGAATAAAAACATGCATTGTTTAACGAAGCTAAAACCAAAACCAAAAACAACTGAATATATATTTAAATTGTTAAGAGTTTGCCAAATACAAAACAAGGTACTGAAGAGTTCAAAGTTTTGTCAGAATGTATATTCGAATATGTAATACTTACGTATTCAGTACCGCTGGCATTGGAAGCTGCCACAGTCATTTGGGTGACATTGCCATGCAGATAATCATTTTTAGCAGGCGTTGCAGTTGCATTTGTCGATGCATTAATGTTACCAGCGGTGGCAGTATCAACTTTCTCCCAATCGTACGGATCTGCCTCCTTAACGCCACGGCGTTTCATACAGCGCTCAAATAGACCGATTAACATCTGTTAGAAATATAATATTTTTCAAAGTCAAAAATATATAATATTTATATATATATATATATATATATATATATATATATATATATTACCGCATAGTCCGGCCGATCTGCGTATGTGAGTGATTGTATGTGTTCCAAGAACTGTTTTAGGTCCGACGGTAGGTGTTTTAATAATATTCTATGATCATATTTCTCTTTGGTCAATCCAACCTGTTCCTTGTCTTTTATCTTTCGCCACGGCAACTGACCATTCACAAACTCAACCAGCATATAGAATAGAGACCACAAGTCATCATGCCGCCCCATCTCCCGGTTCCGATGTGCATTTATCGAGGCGTATCGCACAGTGCCACGGAATCCAGCCGCCGCCCTGGGACACCGCACCTCTCCAGTCCCCGTCGTGTATTGCCGAGCCAACCCGAAGTCCAACATGTACACACGTCGATAGTTATATGGCAAGCGTCCCACAGAGAAATTGCTCTTAAATGTATAATGAATATTATACGATTTAATTTTAATTATTTATTTATTTAATTCCGACTAAAGTCAGTCGACACCAAAAAATACAAAAAGTAGAAATAGTATTAAATTAACAATAAATTTAATATTACATAAATAAATCATCATCAAACTGTGAAATTGTTGGAAGATTAATCTTGATGATAGATTATGAAAAATCATCATCATCTGATAAAAATAAGATTTCAAGCCCGGCTGTATTTTCCGAACTCTTTGAAGCTAGAGACCTGCCTGTCTGGCAGGGAGTGATCAATGAATGCAAATCTTTTATATTTGAGTAGAGATACAAAATTTGAAAGGCAAACAACTATTTTTACCGGCACAAAAGCCATATTTTTATACTATATATACGCCTCCAGCATATCTTAACTAAAGCCCCTAGGTAATTTTCAATAAGTAAATTTTTTCCTAATTTTATACTATATATATAGGTATCCACCAATTGCGACCATTTAAATATATATTGCCTTGTCTTGTAAATCGGCTGATTTTGGCATTGTGTGATTGAGAGATAATTATAATTAAATAAAAAAATAATGTAGAATATATTGTAGAATAATAATTGTGAAAGAAAAGAATGTGGAATAATTATAATTATGTAAAAAAATCACCTACAACGCGAAATAAAAAAATGTTTGAATTACACTTTAGTGTTTAATCGATTCGTGCTCTTCATCATGATCGATGAGACCGAGCTAAATACTTTTACTGAAAGGGGCTTACCGGTTTTATGTCGCGGTGAAGAAAGCCAACGGAATGTATTGATTCGATGGCTTTTAGAATCTGCAATCCCAGCCTGAGTGTTGTGCTGAGCGAAAATGCGCCACGTGGCTGAGCTCGTCTCAGCTCGGCTAGGTTTTTGCCCTGCAATTGCATTACAACGTAATTGAAGCGATCGTTTCTGCCGCATCCAATGAAGCGGCAAACGTGCTCCTTTCCCTGAAGCTTCTTCAGCACGGCAACCTCCATTTTGAGGACTTGCTTCGGCTGGCGGGCGGACTCCACTTTGAGTGCCACCTGCTCTCGAGTGATTAAGTCTTGGCCCTCGTAAATTTCACCGAAACCACCACCGCCAATCTTTCGCACCACCTTAAATAAATACATGAAATGTTGAATTAGTTAAAATACAGAAAAGCGAAGAAATGAATAAAAAAAACAGCTTTAACAGCTTCAAATTTATATATTTAACTAAATGTAGACAATTGGAAATAAAATAAAATAATTATTTAACTAAATTTAAAAACTGAAATATAAAATTAAATCAATTAAAAACAGTTGATTTAAAACTTATAATACAACAGCTATATACACAAAAAAAAAAATTGTTGAAAAGTAGAAAATTAAAGGTGATATTAAAATGTTACTGGGTAAAGCCACAAATAAAAATAAAACAAAATCTAGGGATTAGTCGCATACAGACAAAAATAAAATGTAATGAGTAAATAATAAAAAACAGAAAAAAGTTTCGATAAATTAAAAAAATTAAAAATAAAGTAAAAATTAATAAAAAAAAATCTAATATATGATATTTGGGGCATTAAAATCTTGATTGGGGGAACCTACTAAAAATCTACTCTATTTAATAAGTATGAAGTAAAAATAAATGACTAAAGAATAAAAGCCAGAATAAAGTTTCGATACCTTCCAGCGCTCCTTGACCACATGTCCTGGCTGCAAAAGGTCCTCTGACGTCATTTTGCTCGTCTCTTTCGGGGCTGCTTGCTGTCCACTGGCGGCGTTACTGCTCTTCTCCAATATGGCAGCAGCTGGAGATTGTGTGTTCTGTGATGGAACCTTGAAGGTTACCCGACTGCGGACACCTAAACGATTATGCTTGGCAGGCAATGTCGCCGATCGCTGCAGTGCATTTGGATAATTTTTATATCTCTGCTCCTCCTCCGAAGTATCGGCTTCAGCTTTAGCCTCAGCCTGAACTCCTCCGCCCCTCCTAGTGACGCTATTACCAGTGCGAATGTTCTGCAGGAATAGTGCGTGGAGCGTGGCAGGTGCAATTGATGGCGGCGGCTTTGACGGAGGCGGTGGCTGCAATCGCAATATATTCTTGTGCTCAGTGTATTTGGAACTATCGCTTATGTACAACTTGGGTTGATTCGATTGGATTTGGTCTTGGTATTGTTGCTGTTGGTTTTCGTTGTGGTGTTGTTGTTGGCGCTGATCATGCAGATTGTCTTTGACGTGGCCTCTGGCGTTCTTGTGTGACTGAGCGACATTTTCGTCGTTTCTACTGAAGCAAGAAGGTTTTGATTAATACAATTACACTGTTAACTTGTTTTAAGTCATGTAAGATGTATTTTATTTTATTTTTAATTTAATTTATATTTTTGAGTCAACTGACTTTAGTTGACATCAAATAAAATTAATAAATGAAGTAAGTTAATATCGTCACGAAACTGTTAACTTTAAATGTTTGACCTTTTTAAGTTATGTTAAGTGTATTTATTTTTAATTTAATTTATTTAAATATTTTACTTTTTATATTTTTTTGGTGATATTAAATAAAAAAAAATGTATTATTAAATTTATTTATTTATTAAGGTATGGTATTAATATCTCAAACGAAACTGTTAACTTTTAGGGTTTGTTATAAAATTGCATTGCATTTTATCTTTAGCGACAGTTTGGTCATTTCTACTAAAACGACAAGTAGACTGATTAACATAAGTACACTTTTAACTTTTGAAGTAATGTTAAGTGTTAGTTAATGTCATAATGTCTTAGTGTCTTAACTCTTATTGTGCATTATAAAATTGGAATGCATTATATTTTTTAGGTTTCACTTTAATGTTATTTTACCACCAGCTGATTGCACTGAACCAATTTGGTGGTGTTTTTCTCTCTCTCCACTTTTTTTTTGGCACCCAGGCGTTGTCTCTGCAAATAATGTTGACTGATTTGATTCCATTTTATGCTCAAAAAAATATTTTTTACCATAAATTAAATTGCATATGGAAATTCAAAATTGCAAATATATATATATATATATATATATATATTGCAATGTTGCAATATATATATATATATGCATACTTTTTCTGAAGGGAATATATAAGCAATGGATATGGAAACATGAAGCATATGTATTATTACATGTTCAAAATTGAGAAGATTTTGCTGGCATTGTGATTGGGTTAGTAAGGTTTACCTCAATAATAACAGCGATAATAGGCTCTTGGCTCTGGATTTGAAAAGTTGTCTTCACTTTGCAGCTCAGCTCAGCTCACGTAATGCAAATATGCCAGGTATATATATATGTATATTCAAAGTTTGACATGGAATTTGGGAAAGCAAATTGTTTTTTATAGGCACGCTACACACTTTGAGAGTTGCATAGAAAACACACATTTTACATATAACATTGTTCAATTACGAGCGAATAATCACGAAACACAATTCGAATTGTTAAACATCGATTACAGATGAGGTACGCTTGACATATTACTCAAGCCTGAAATAAAAAATCTCGTATTGATTGCAAAGCTTTTGATGTGGCTCTCCGTCTTTCTATGCTGAGCTTTTACTGAGCAAAACAACGGCACTTCCTGCCTTACCAAACGATAGACAGAGAGAGAGAGAGAGAGAGCCCAGTACAAGTTGTTAGTTGCCACTGGCTACTTGAACTTTCACCAGCTGCACCCTTCCAGCAGCGCATGCGCCAGGACATCGACTATGTAGTGTCATGTCAATCAGGTTTTATCTCACACTCAGCGTTGTGTAGCCATGAGCTTTGGCAGTTTGTTTGAGAAGATTTTTCAGTACATTTTAGCAAGCACTTATTTATATAAGAAAGTATTTATATAAGTAAGCATTTCTCACTTAAATCAAGAAAATTTGTCTTTGTGCGCACCCTTTTTTTTTTTCACCTATTTATCTTAATGTATTGTCGCTGGATTAAATTATGCTTCATTACATAGCTCCCTCCACAAAACTTAATTAAAAAATGTAATTATAGTAGGCTTAAAAAATATCTTTTATCTTTAAGTTATTTATTTTTTTACAATTTTTTTAATTTTCTTTATCGGACTAGTCGACATCAAATAAGTGTAGCACACTTTTAGAAAAATATCCCAAAAACTTGATGGCTGAAAATATTGTAGACACGAAAAAGAGTTGGAATTTTGGAAGAACATATACGCGGTTCTTAAATAGACCTTATTAAAATTATAGCTTCCCAATAAGCTGACCAGCTTTTTAAAATGATGGGACACATTTAGAGTTTTTAGATATTTCATTTCTTAAAGATAACATAATTTTATTTAAGCTTTTAGATCATATTAATCGTGCAAGAATAAGTAAATAAAAATTATACATGCTGAGTAAAAATTTCTTTTCATAAAAAAAATTATACTATCAAAATAAACACAAAAACTAGAGAAAACGTTGCAGTCGGGCGTAACCGACTTCGAAATACTTTGATACCATATGTAATAAAAGCTGGTAACAGGTAGCTAGGAACAGGGCGAGTGTAGCCAATAAATACTGTTTAAGTTTGCCTTTCAAATTGAGTTAGATAAAATCTAGTAACGTCCCTTCAAAGTTTGGTAATTGTAGCTCTCAAATTATGGGAGATGTGGGATTTTGAAAATATGGGGGCGGGAGTTGGCGTGGTCGCAACAAAAAAATATAAGAGAAGGTTCCTAGTAATCTTCCTTCCAAGTTTAGCTCTTAAGGCGCCGCCAAAAAAAATTTTTGGAGTACGATCTTAGTAACCGACATTCCAAGTTTGGTAACTGTAGCTCCTAAAGTTCGATAGATATAGGCTCGTATCTTGTTTAGGGGCTATGGTCTTATCAATTTACACTAACAGGTCTATCGGTTTAAGGCGTAGTGGGCGTGGCCATCCAACTTGTATCGATCTCTTAGGGGAGTTAGGGGTGTAACATTCGTTCAAAATTTGGTGACTCTAGCTTACAAATTGTGGAAGATATGCGGATTTTAGATTTGTAGGGCCAAAGTTCCTGGTGGCGGTGAGTGTGGGCATGGTCTAAAAATGTATATGCCGATCCTTGAAAGAGGTTACCAGCAAGTTACCTTCCAAGTTTGGTCACTCTATCTTAAAAATTTTGGGAGATATGTGGATTTATCGATTTACACTTCCCGAAATATCGGCTAAGGCGATTATGGGCGCAGGTGTTGGAGTAGCCATACAAAATTGCTGCCGTTTTTTGAAAACGTCTACCAGTATTATAAATATCAAATTTGGCTTTAGCTCTAAAACTGCGGAAGATATAGTCATTTAAAATGTTGAGAGGTGGGTGACCTGGGGCGGCGGAGGTAAGCGTGGCATATGCCTATCTTTGAAGAACATCGCCAACAACCTACCAACCAAATTTGGTGACTTAAGCTTTAAAATTATGGGAGATATGTGGCTTTATCGATGTGCGAATATCGAATATCCCTCCCTAGCCCCTAGTGGACTCCAACTCTTATATTTTGTCCTACGTGGGCACAGACCAGTATATGTTCCAAGTTTTAGGTCCCTATCTCTAAGGGTGTGGAAAAAAGTTGCGTTCATACAGACGGACAGGTTGGCAAAATTCCTCAACTGAACCCTCCACGAGGGTGCCGACTGGTAATAGCATTACAGGGGTCCTGCAAGGTACCGATGCTAGCTATGACTCGTGCCCCGAACCTTGGACATGAACTGTCCCCATAGTCTTGTCCTTGGGAAAGGACCGAGTCATGTTTCGAGGTAATGGGCCGGACTAAGGTGTAATGCGACCCGTGCCGATAGTCAGCCAGGCTGGGGGCCCTAAAATATCCCAGTCTTTTACGGAGCATATCGGATACCTGGCGACCTCCGATATTAATCAGCCTTACCTGCACATCGCGGATCTCTGTGCAAGCATTCTGAAGCGGCAGAACGCAAATCCAGTGGCTAACCCACCAGCCGAATGGCAGAATAAGGTGGTGTGGAGGCTCCACCAAATAAAGAGCAGATCCAGGCAAAACGGCAACGCTCGCAAGAAGCCCATGGTCCAGTTGCAAAGCGAGCCAAGGTGCAGCAGGGAAGGTCCTTTGCCGATATTGCCAAGGAGAGAATCCTAATAGGGATCCTTGACAAGGGCAATAAGGACGGAAGAATCCCGAGAAATCAGTGGAAGTGGGTGGAAGGAGCTCTCGCTGTCCACTGTTTAAAAATGCTGAGCAAGGTGCCTGGGCCACCACCGGTATGTAGAGATGCCGGGTGGTACCAGGGCAACACGAAGGTTATCGCCTGCCAAGATGCTCGCTCGGTAGAGCTTAATAAAGCTGCCGTAGCAGAGATCGGCGAGGTTTACCCCGGGGCGAAGCTGGTCGCTGTCGACTGGAGCGAAGTCCCGAGTAGACCTCGAGCACGCATCTGGATCCCGGCCTCTTTGAAGGAACCGGACCAGGTGCTAAACCTACTGCAATTATGCAACCCCTCTCTGCCCACCCATGATTGGAGGGTGGTGAAGATTGAGGCTACTGATGGGCCAACCAACCAGGCAGTGCTGATCCTCAATAAGGAATCGCTGGCCCCCATCGAAGCAGCCAAAGGCGAGCTCAATTTTCACTTCGGCTCCATTACTGTCAAAGTATACAAATCGGATGCGCCGGCCGGAGGAGACCCTGCTGTCTGTAACAAGACAGCTGAACAGGGCCCTCCTGCGGAGATCGGGGCAACCGATGAGGAGCCGGAGCCCGCTTACACGTCGGACATGTCGACTCTGACTCGGGGCCTTGAGGCCACGAGTTAGACGAGGATGATTTCACGCTGTCGGACGAGGACGATAGCAATAATACGGTGGTGAGGGTGGAATCTCCGGATGTCCTTGAGACTGAAGCAGGTAAACCTTCACCACAGTAGAGCATCATCCGCTGCTCTGATGCTCCGCCTGGCTGGAGGCGGAGGCGATATAATACTAGTCCAAGAACCTTGGGTGATCGGAGGAAAGGTTTGCGGACTAGGCAATAACGAATATAAGCTTTTAGTAGCTGGAAATGAATGTAAAAAACGCACCTGCATCCTCGCGAGAAAACATCTAAATATTTTTCTGCTTCATAATTTTAGCAACGCCGACAACACAGCGGTAAGCTTAGAGCTCCAGTCAGCTCCGGTAAGGCTACTGTCTGCCTATATGGCCTACGATAGCGCTGGAGATGAGATGAGATTATAAGATCCCTCGTCCAGGAGTGCGAGAAGCACAGAATCAGCCTAATTATAGGCTGCGACGCCAATGCTCACCACACTCAGTGGGGGAGCGCGGACACAAATCCGAGGTCTGAGTCACTCTTATCCTTCATCCTTAATACTAACCTTCTAGTATGTAACACGGGAAATGAACCCACCTTCATTATTAAAAATAGGCGAGTGGTCATTGATTTGACCCTCATCTCTCAATCTATGAGTGACCAGCTAACAAGTTGGAGAGTGTCTGATGACCACTCCTTCTCTTATCACAGGTACATAGAATTCGAGCTTCAACTAAATGTCCTTCGACAAAGTTGCTGGTCTCTTTTCAATGCGGCAAATAATGACCAGCAATGGTCAAAATACAAATCAAGGCTAAATACAAAAAAGCCACCAGACGGGAAAAAAGGAAATCTTGGAGATATTTCTGCACAGATATTGATTCAACTACTGAAGCTGCAAGGCTTAGAAAAGTTTTATCAAAAACCACACCCACACTAGGTTATCTGATAAAGGATGACAACTCATGGTCGGTCTCCAGTGAAGAGTCACTGGACATCCTCCTTAAAACACACTTCCCTGGCTGCTCCAAACAGTCCCCGAGGTGCGCAGAAACCAACTGTATAGAGAACACATCTTTAAAGTCTCTTATACACAGAGGTAACATTAAGTGGGCAGTGAACAGCTTCAAGCCGTTCAAATCCCCAGGCCCTGATCAGATAAGCCCAGCCCAATTACAGAAGGCGGGAAATACAGCCATAAACTGGCTACATGAAATCTTCGGGAAGATTCTGAAGACTGGTCGCATCCCACCGACATGGCTCCAGTCAAAAATAACCTTCATACCCAAAGCTGGGAAGCCATCGCACACCAGCGCCAAAAATTTCAGACCCATCAGTCTGTCATCTTTCTTGCTAAAGACCCTGGAACGACTTATAAGTCTCCATCTCACAGCATCCATTGACCCCAGGCTTATGTCGGAGTCTCAACATGCCTACAGGAAGGGCAGATCCACAGATACTGCCCTTCACTCTGTGGTCTCTATTATAGAGAAATCTTTACTTCATAAAGAGTACACCCTTATAGCGTTTCTCGACATTGAGGGCGCTTTTAACAACGTCACTCCGGCAGCCATAACTGGAGCTCTGCTGAACCTGGGGATTGACACCGGTCTAGTGGGACTGATCAGTCAATTGCTTACTTGCAGGACACTGAACTTGTTCTTTTCACAAAGAATTACAAGGTCCCTTCTCTTGTCCCACCCAGACTAAATAATGTGAATTTACTCTTCAAAAACAGTGCCAATTTCCTAGGATTGATACTAGACAAGAAACTAGGCTGGAACCTCAATATCCACACACGGGATTAAAAGGCAACAGTCGCCCTATATACGTATAAGAAATCCATTGGAAATCCATCCTAGCTACCTGTAAGCTCAATTTCAAGGAGGAGTATAGGCGCAGGTCATGCAGAAAATGGCAAAGTGCCACCTGTGCCCGCATAGCACACCAGAAATGGTCAAGCATTAACTCCAAGCGCAGCAAAGAGCTGTGCAGTCTGAGTTGAACTAACTGTTCCGCAGTGATCCGGGCTCTAACTGGGCACTGGCTGGTCGGCAGTCATGCCTACAGACTTCAGGTGCCATACAATGACTTTTGCAGAAGCTGCAAAGAGAAGGAAGATAGCGAAATTCATAGACGCATCGGGCTGGGCGAATGTTTGACATGTTAGAATGCTTCGGAGGCACGACTGCAGGAGAAAATCCCTGGATCCCATTCGGTATCACAACGGGCAAATATGGCCTAAGTGTGTCAGCCCATCGGGCTGACAGCCGATATAACCCAACCTACCCTACAGACGGACAGACCGACAGACAGACAGACAGCACGACGGACATTGCACAAAACCAATAAGCTAAAAAGTTGTCTGCAAAATTAAACAAATTTTGATTGTAGAAAACTTTACTCAAATTTAAAATTTTTTTTTATTATATAGTTAACAAAATATTTCGTTGAAAAAATAAATCTCAAATATATACCGGTTGTGGATCAAAACGACAAAAAATACCAAAGTGTCGACTTGGTATTTTTGAAAGTGTAAGGTCACTTTCTTTTGGCAACTGTGTTTTGTTTGCGAAAATTTCCCAAAATACAAAGTAATAAATCAATTAAGAATTATATTTGAAAAAAAAAAGATGCGCAAACTGTTTTTTTTTTTATATATTTATTTTATTATTATTTTCATATCCAACAAAAGCTGACCATAATGGATTATGACAACAATACTTATGATTCATTTATTTTGTAGACAATATTTATATACATTTAAACCAATTTTTTTGAAATTGTGAAAATACCCTTTTTTATTATTTAATTATTTTTTGACAAACGTCAAAATTATTCTATTACTTTTGTATAAAATACAATTTAAGTAGAAGTTAAGATGTCAAATTTGTGGGCGTATTTTTATTAGTGCATTTGTATAAAATATTTGCATTTAAAATTAAATTTAAACTTACTTGTGTGTCTCCTGTAAATGCATATTGAATGTTTGGCTTCAGTTACTTGTTTCCAAAGGCATATGCCACTTAGTCATCTGACCAATTCTAAATTTAAAATGTTCGCAGATTCATTAAATGCATTGGCTTTTAACTAACAGTTACTTCATATTATATATGTTTGACATTCGCGTACGCATTTCATTTATTTCAAAACTAAGCTATTTGTTTATTTTCGCTAAATATTGTTTTTAACTATTAGTACTGTTTTGCAAGAAATATGTCGGTGTTTAAGTATTTCGGATTCGAATATTTGTGTATCTAATATAGGAACAATCGCAATTATCAGTATTATGTAGGTAATCTTGTATGCATGAAATATTCTATTTTTAAAAACACATATTTTTGTCTTGTTTAATTATAGAGATATATACTCAACGAGAATCTTTAACGATATATGTGCAACACGTGCCACAATTTTTTGTAAGGGCTAGAATTGTCGAACCCCTTCATCAATATATATAACAATAGTAACTAAATAAATAATTAGTAATATAAAAAAAATATCTGACAATTTTATAATGAAACACGCGTCTATTTATAACAAATTTACGTTCTCTTTGAAAACACACACACACATACACAGAGAATTTGAACAACAAAACACGGGAGTGAGCGAGCTGTTGACTCAATTTTTAGCACTTTTGACAGAGCTTTTCACGTACATACGAGATTGTTCACTGAAAAGTTTCTACTGAGACGTTTTCTATCGCCTCGGAAAAATGATTGCAGCGCGCTAAAGAACTGAAAAATCTTTCATGCCTTTCTTATAAAGACATACACATGCATGTATATATTCATACATATTTAGTTTTATTCAGGTACGTTCCGCATTTCATCATTGCATATCTTAAAAAGACTAAAGCGTCTAATGGTGAATACCGAAATATAACAATCATAGAATAATCTTAAAAAATATTTAAGGCAATTAAGCTATAAATAACCAAATATATAAATAAGCAAACAGCCAAAAAAATCTATATGAAAATTGACTGCGTAATTCTCTGATGCCAATAAAATACCAAACTGAAAAAGAGGTGGAAACGAAAAAGGGCTCAACTCGACCTTCAATCACCCTTCAAAAAGCAGTCTAGAGTGTTGCCAGGCATTTTTACAAGACGATCTTTGGAGGAGTTTGCAAGTAGTCTAAATATTATAAATATATTGATCTAATCGATTTAAACATCTTGCTATGATTTTGGAGAATTTCTTTTGTACTCTGGCTCTTATGTTTTTGATTGCTGCGTTTTATTTCGTTTGACTATCCAAAATCTCACACGGACCCACAGATCAAATTGTAGTCAAGAATTTAGCAATAAAAAGGTACTGAAAGCAAAATCAGTTTTCGTTTTTCGTGTGTGTTTTGATCGGCGTCAATGCTGATGACCGACGACGAGTAGTTCATTATGACATTGGCTTACGACGAAAAGAGATCATCGCTTTTGTTTCGTCCTCTGTCGTTCGTAGCGCTGCAAAACAGCTGATTGTTGTTCAACAAAACCAAGACACGACAGATCGAACATCTGAAAGGTTTGCTCATTGAACAAGTTCATATTTTCATTTTGTGTTTGTGACGTAACATTGCAGTTTCTATTTCACAGTGTTTTGTAGGTTGTGGCTTATACATTAATTCAAAGATTGCTAAAAATCATTATTAAAAGTTCAAACAAAAAAATCGATAATAATGCATATTTTCGTAGTGACATTAGATATTTGTCAATAATTCAAAACTCAATTTATTTATCTTGGAGACCGCAAAATTAAAAGCAATGTTAACCACTGTTACCTGTGTGTATTCTGCTCAACGGTTCAAAATAATGGACTTTGATATATTTTAACGGCGGTTATCGACAAACCAACATAGAAGCGGCAAGTGCATCGGAATGCAAATAGTACAATATGAATGAAGAATAATCTTTTAAGAAAAATGTGCGCTTATAATCGCCGTAAAGGCAATAAAATTAATTACATTTTTGTAACTCATCAGACCTTTTTGTTTTTAGGTTCCACATATTTGCAAATTTTAGAGAAATATTTCGATTTATTGCAAGAAGCATCGATGTATCGACTGACTAAAAAAAACTATCGGTACTGATCAGAGGTGATTTATACAAAGTGAGCGCAATTTTAAATTTGTTTTCAATTATGAAAATCTTTCGCATATTTATAGGTCGTAGCAGTAGAAAAGTAATAAAACGAAAAACTATCAAGGACAGTAGCATTTTAAAATTTCTATAAAAATAATTTCTCTTAAGTGTGTTCTCTTTCACTTCCATCAGAAAACACAAATCGAAACACGGCCAAGTTTTTTTTCCTATATTCTGCGAAAGATTTTTTTCGAGGTATTTATAACGCTTGAATTAAAACATTTGCCAAAAAAATTAAACTTTCTTACATAACAAATTTTTCTACAATAACTTTGAAATTTTACCACAAACTCATAATATTCCGGTTGCATACAGGAATCAGTTAATGTTGATATTTTGAACCCAATATAAAGAGCTTACTTACATTTTTAATGTTCCTTTTTTGTATTTTTTTCCAGTCTATATGTTATTTTGATAGTTCAATTATGAATTCCAAAGCTGAATTCAGAAACATCGGAAAAAATGAACCAGCTGTGCAAGTGAACAGCTGTGAATGTCTACTCTCTGTTAACGGGACTGCTGTTTTTTGACGGCATAACCGCGCACTTTCAAATATTATATTTGTTTCGATATCAATAAAAAAACTATACCAATATTTAAAAATAATTAAAAACTTGCATACAAAGATTTTTGAAGAAACCTTGGATGAAATAATAATAAATGCAATAAATTCTGTCTATTTAAAGTCGACAGATATTTTTAAAATAACATAAGCGTAACATATGTCTTGAACAGCATTGCCTTATAAGATTACCCAGCAACTAAAACAGCTGTTTTACCGATTTGCAATGAACCCTGCTTTGGACATCGATGAAAATGAATTAAATAATTTTCTGTATGAGTTTAAGTTATGACCAATTGCCAAGAAACCCATCTTGAATAATGTAAGAATACCAAATATAGATTCAAAAGCCAAGACGATTTTCATTTCAGTCCGATTTTTTTCTGAGTATGGTATACTGTTGCGAATTGGTGTCATTTGCAAATCTTAAAATGATTTTTAACATATGCTCGGTGGAACTGTTCTTCCTCAAATAAACATTTCTGCATACAATTTTTGAACGTGATTAACTGTTGTAGGTGAATGCTACTCTACAGGCTTTTTCTTTCAGTCTTTATCACTTCCTTTCTTTCTGCCTTCCTCTAATATTTGAAAATTTGTTAATAGGATTTATCTAGGGTTTCCTAATTAGACCAATTTAAATATGTAAAATTCTTTATATTATTTTTTAAATTTTAAATTTAAAATTTATTATTTAAATTAATTTGTCAGTTTAATTTTGCTTTTTATATTTCAACCCTCTTTAAAACTTGAAGACTTTGGTTACTACATTATTCATGAATAAATGAAATACATAAGATTTTAAAAATGAAAAATATTGCGAAAATAAAGATGCAATATAATATTGGAACTAACCCTGTCATAACCATTTTCCAATTTCGATTCAGGGTATAATGACTACATTTAGATTGAAAAATTTGACCACGCATTGACTTCCGCATGAAATATCAAATAGAAAAAGGGTTAAAATGTTCGAATTCCTGTCAAAGGCCTGCCAGATAAAATTGGTTCCGATTCAGCTTTTTAAGGGTTTGGCAAAGCACGCGGCAATGGCAATGGGCAACCATTGGAACTGTTGTGAAACTAGAGATTATGTGCACCAAATCAATATGGAAATCAATAAAAAAAATTTATCCAGCAGCAGATGTCACCCTCAAAAGTGAAAAAAAAGGAAACGAAAAAAAAGTGCACCCCTCAAACAACAAACATAAATACACAGATACATATAAGGTTTTTAATGAATATATATGTATGTTTGTATTTATGTATAGTTTGGCTTTTATCGAAAATGAATGTTTGGCAATGGTTAAGATAAAGAATAAGCTATATGAGGGATGCTTATTTGAGTGTAACTGTAACACTCACAACATAGTCACATAAATGTGACTCGGAGTAAAGACTCAACATATTCAGATCGGCCCTTTCACAAGATGTAATTTCATTAATAAATACATCTAATAATACAAACAAACCGTTTTTCTGGATAGAGTTTTCTGGGCTTTCCCCAATTCCTGCAACAAATATTGGACCATTTTCCGTTTAAACACTTCGAGAAAATTTGTAAAAATTTCTTCTGTTTTTTTATTTAAGTTTAATTTACACATTTTATTTTTAATTTAATTTATTTATTAAATGTCTACCTTTGAAAGATGACACCAGCAATCCACCTGCCAAATTTTAAATTTCTAGGTTTAAAATTGTTGGAGTTATTTGGTTTTATCGATATGCGGTTATCGATTTATTAGAACCGTAGTGGAAGTTATACACCAATATACTCTTCTATCTTCGATATCAGAGTATGAAAAATGAGTACCTTAATTATGAATAATCGATTTCTGCAGTGTTTCGTATTTTCTTGATGACATTTGTATATAACCCCTATATAATGTAGAATATAGACGCATGTTACATATGGAAAATGCTATTGCCTGGTGATATTAATCTGCTCAATATAAAATTCCCATTCGGGAATTTCCCCCGATTTATAAAATTTCTTTAGCTCAGCAGCAGCATTAAAGTTCAATAATATTTAATTCTATGTTAGCTAGACTGTCAAACCGAAACGAATTAGGTTAGAAAATCCTGTATTTTTTCAATCTTCTTGCGTAATTTTTTCGGTATTATTATCCTGAGTTTGATAAAATAACTAACTCCAGTGTAATACCTAATAAGCTGGCAAAAGATGAGAAGTAGCCTTCTTCTTATCAACATCGGACATATTATATATATAAGCTCGGTGGGTATTATCTACTTATAACGAAATTAGGTTGTTATCAGGTGCACTGACCTCAACCCTAAAATCCATTATATGTTAATGCTATAACCTGAATTCTTTAAAA